TAGCACAGCAGGTAGAGCGTTTGCCTTGCACGCAGCCAACCCGGGTTCGATTCCTCCGCCCCTCTCCGAGAGCCTGGCAAGCTACTGAAAGTATCTCACCCACACGGCAAAGCCTGGCAAGCTACCTGTGACGTATTTAATATGCCAAAAACAGTAACAAGTTTCACAATTTGTTGTGAGACGTTACTGGTGCCCACTCAAGCAAATTGATGAACAATGGGAGGACAGTGCTACATCACTCCCCATCACAGCAGACACATGTGGGCTCCCAGGCGGTCGGAACTGAAAGGGAGGGGTGGGGATAGAAGGGTGACATTCAGAAAAGATGTCATGGAAAGGAAAAGGAAGGGAAGGGAAGGGAAGGGAAGGGAAGGGAAGGGAAGGTAAAGGAAAGGGTCAAGAAGACAGGGCCGCTCCCAGGTGGCCGGAGGGCTGCGAGCACTTTCCATTGAGTTTGAAGTTGAGTCGGGGCCAGGGGAAAGCAGGATCTAAGTGTCTGTTGCTAAGGGCCTTGCCAAAAGGAGGAGCCTGGGCTTGTAGCTGGTTTTATCATCACCTTTAGATTATAGACACTTCTCCAGTCTGAGGGGATCTACCCTTCTCTGGCTGCCTCAGTTTCTCCTTCAGTATTTGCATCTCCAAGGAATGTGACCTTCGTGCCTTGGGGCTGTTTTAGGACTGGGTGGAACTTGATTTGATTTTTTTTTTTTTTTGGTTTTGGCCTTTTAAGCTACACCCAGCAGTGCTCTGATCTTATTCCTGTCTCTGTGCTCAGGGATCCCTTCTGGTGGGGTTTGGGGGAACCATCTGGGGCACTGAGGATTGAATCTGGGTCAGCCACATCCAAGGCCAGTGTCCTACCTGCTGGGCTATCTCTCCAGTCGCTCCCTCCCCTACCTTGTAACTTCTTTTAATCGCATCTTGGTTTCATTAGAGGGAAACTCCTTAGCAGGGAGGCCCCATTTATCAGCCTTCACGCGTCCCTGTAGACTTTCGGTGGACGGTTCTCCCTGACCTGTCTACTAGATCAATTGCTGGTAATGACTGACTATATTTCCCATCCGTTGAGCTCTTCCTATGTGTGTGTGTACAGCATCTCCATTTCTAAACTTCAAGACCCAATGAATCGATTGTTATAATCTACCTTTGACAGATGAGGAAACTCAAAGTGTCTAAGAAATTTGATTGAGGGTCAGAGATGTAGGGTACTTGCCTTTCATGAGTGATGCCTTAGGTTCTTCTCTCTCGGGGGGATTTTTGTGAGGAAGTTCACAGTGGGGGTGGAATTAAAACCCAAAATCTCTAACCAGTGATTAGAAGGCAGCTTTGTCTGACCTCAGAGTCCATATCTTTTGCCACATTCCAGCCTCTCTCTCTATCTCCAAAGCTTTAGCAAGAGACATGTCAAGTGTTTTCACTTTCCCTGCTCTGTCTGGCAACCCAAATATTAGTCTGCCTACCCTAACGGATAGTGACCTTCCGACCAGGCCATACTGACTGGCTGGCTGTGAGAAGTCTTGTTTACAAGCTGATTTCCCTTGCTTCACTTTGTGTCTACATTCATAATCTTTGTCCAGAGAGTTGAAAGGTAGGGTTTGTTTCATTTTGTTTTATAATTCACTATTTGTCTTGACTGATTCTTCAATGTCCCTCGTACTTATTTTTTAGTTATTTCAGATTAAGATGTGGTTAATCCAGTCTTTTTTATGAATGTCTTCGTAGACAGCCATCCAGCAAACTAATAACAGAGAGAGAGAGAGAGAGAGAGAGAGAGAGCGCCCTTAGGTTCCTGCCATGTAGATGATATTCTTCGGATACATTTAACACTCCTGAAATGTTGGTGAGGCTGGTGACAGACAGAGCGGTGCTCAGGAGTTACTCCTGGCTCTGCACTCAGGAATCATTCCTGGTGGTTCTGGGGGTGATGGGGGATGTGTGCCACATAGGGCTCTGGGGATTGAACTCAGGTCAGTCACCAGTGAGGAAATTTTTATTGACACCGGGCACTGATTTTTCATGTGTCACAAAAGCCAGCAAATTTCTTCACAAGAAGAGTTAGAAGGTGTGCTTAGAGATCTGTCTTTATTATACCAAATAATTCCATGATCCCATAAAAGTGTTTTTAAGCAAACAAAATATTGCCTTACAGTCTTACAGTTCAAATTGGGCCACCAAATGCCCAATGGTGCAGCACACTGACTGACGCTGACGCAGGGCTGCTGGCCCGTGCACCCTCCCCGCGGTCCCCAGGACACTTGCTGTGCTGCTGGCTGTGGACTCTCCGTGTGGAAATACCAACTATTTAAAAGTTGAGTCATTGATTTGCAAAATGAGAAACTATTTGGGGACAGCCTCTTGTGCTGCAGACCCGTTGTTCTCAACTAGGGGCCACATGCTCCCCGCCCCCAGGACAGTCCCTGGGAGGGCCACAGATAAAAATTGTATGAATGTGGGGCCATAACCAAGACTGGGGGAGGCAGGGGAGATAGTATGGTGGGAGGTATGGAAAGGAAAGGGGGCCACGATCAGAAAAGGTTGCAGAACACTGGCTTAGACACCCAATGTCTCTTCTGCAGACCACAGCACCCAAAAGGAGACATAGAACAAAAGGGAGTGCCCTCACACAGAGGCAGGGTGGGATGGGAGATGGGGGGGTGGGAGGGATACTGGGATTGGTGGGGGTGGAGAATGGGCACTCGATCATTGCATAACTGAAACCCAAGCACAACAACTTGTAAGTCTACAACTGTACCTCATGGTGCTTCACTAATAAAAATTTTTTTAAAAACTAATATTTTAAATATTTCTTTAAAAAAAACACTGGCTTAGAGCAGTGTTAATACGCAGGTATTCGCTATTGTTATGTAACTCTTACCAAGCCATTCAAAATAATGTTCTATCAAGAAATCAAATCAGTTCTAACCAAGAAATTTAAAAATAATTTGCCTAACCTCGGGATTTAACAGGGGGCGTCACAATCCCCAGGAAGCCTCCTACCAGGTAGCTACGGAGTCCTTCAGAGATTTGGAAGCAGAGTCACCCCTCTTTGGGTAAATGGAAAGACCTAGTGCTTTAGTTAATAGAACACAGAATGTTAGTGTGCAGGAAACCTATGTGTTTTGTAGAGATTTGTCTTCGCCCCGCTTTATGGGTGTATAATCCATGCGCCATGTAACTGTATACTGATATATATACTGTGTTGATCAGGTACATTTGTAAACTGCAAAATTATATCTACCATATTATTGCCACCTCTATACCAAGTTTTCCTGTGTGTGATAAGAACATTTAAAATTTGGGGCTGGAGTGATAACACAGCAGGTAGGGTGTTTGCCTTGCACACGGCCCAATCCGGGTTCGATTCCCAGCATCCCATATGGTCCCCCGAGCATGGCCAGGAGTAATTCCTGAGTTCATGAACCAGGAGTAACCCCTGTGTATCGCTGGGTGTGACCCAAAAAGTAAAAAAAAAGAACATTTAAAATTTGCTTTGTTACCAACATTCAAGGGCTAGAGCGATAGCACAACAGGTAAGGCGTTTGCCTTGCATGAGGCCAACATGGCCATCCCGAGTTCAGTTCCTCCGCCCCTCTCAGAGAGCCCGGCAAGCTACTGAAAGTATCTCGCCCACACAGCAGAGCCTGGCAAGCTCCCGGTGACGTATTCGATATGCCAAACACAGTAACAATTATCACAATGGAGATGTTACTGGGCCCACTCGAGCAAATTGATGAACAATGGGAGGACAGTGACAGTGACCAACATTCAAGTATATGATATTACAGCATATATTATTAGCTGTCCTCACTTGCACTGTGTCCAGACTTGTTCACTTAGACCAGGAAGTTTATACCCCTGGACCTACATTCCCCTAGGCTCCAGTCCCCACTGCCCTGGAAATCATTAATCTGCTTTGTTTTTCTGAGTTGGGGAGGGTTTTTTCAGTTGTTTTTAAAGTAGTTTCTGGTATGGGCGCAAACCCCAGCAGTGATAGGGGTATTCCCGGTCCTGCACCAGAAGTGAGTCCTGGTGCGCAGGGGACCACATGCAGTCTTGGAAAAGAACCAGGGAGGACCACATACAGAACCAGCACCTTCGCCCTACACCGTCCCTCCAACCCTGTATGTTCAGATTCCTCAAAGAGTGAAATCATTCGGTATTTGTTGTTGTTTTTTTTTTTTCTGACTTAGCATAGTGCCCTCAAGGTCCATCCAAGTTGTTGGAAACAGCTGGATTTCCGGTTAGCTCATGGCTGAATAATTCTGTTACACAGACATACAGGCACACACTCCAGCATTTTTATCGGTTGGATCTTGATGGACACGAGGGTGGTTTCTGCACCTTGGCTTTTGTGAGCAGTGCTGCATAAAATGCCGCACTGAGCAGTGTCAGTCTGATTTTATTTCCTGATTTTATTTCCTTTGGCTAAATACCCAGAAGAAGTGTTGCTGGATTATGTAGTAGCTCTAGTTTTAATATTTTGAGACCCTCTAATCTTTTCTGTAGTAGTTATTTGCCAATTTGCATTTCTCGCAAATACTACTCAAGGGCTTTTATTTTTTCCCATAAATGTTAAGTGTGAACTTGTGTCAGAATGGAAATGAAAATGTAGTTTTAATAACTCACAGGGTAACAGCAGTTAGTAAGAGAAATTAGTAAAGGAGAGATAGTACAGCGGGTAGGGCGTTTGCCTTGCACGCGGCTGACCCGGGTTCGATTCCTCTGTCCCTCTTGGAGAGCCTGGCAAACTACCGAGAGTATCCCCCCCACACACACACACACGGCCCACCCTGACAAATTCGATATGCCAAAAACAGTAACAACAAGTCTCACAATGGAGATGTTACTGGTGCCCGCTCGAGCAAATTGATGAACAACGGGAGGACAGTGCTACTCCAGTGCCACTTGCCAGTGTTGACTTGTTTTGACCTCTGAGGAGAGAGCAGCTTGTTTCCAAGTCCGTAATCCACACTATGTGTGACCTCTCTGTGTCTCCACAGGCGCAGCGAACCCACAGGCAGGCCTCACTCTTGGCATTCAACTAAACTTGGGGAGAACCAACCCGAAGCCATGATGCAAATATCTCAGGGGACGATTGGCGCTCCTTGGCCTCAAGGCTATCATTCCAGGTAAGTACCAGAGTCCTTGTCAAGCGTGCTGCTCCCAGAAGAGAAAGTTTTCTTCTGCTTTGAGTCCACCAGGTATCAACTGTCTCCACCCACCACTGTCCTGATTTCTCTCAAAATTCCTGACATGTACAGTCTTAGTCACGTGAAACCAGGTTGGTATGGGGGAAAGGGCAGAATTACTTTGAGTGCTGACTGACCATATGAGGTATTCGGGGAGTCTATTGATTCTGACAACGGTTTCTCAGTTATACATTATAACGCAGTTAGAAAACGGACAGACTTCTCATTGCCCTTCCTGCGTTACCTCACATATGTTTCTCCTTTTCATTCATGGATTTGAAGTCCCTGCTCTTGTTTCTCCCTCTGTAGCTCCAGCAAGTGTCAGGTACACTGAGGACTCCTGAGTGCGTACATGATCTCTCCTCACCTTTGTATAGGCCTGTAGGTCTCCCAGAACAAGAAACTGAAACTTGGAGAGACTGTCTTATCCAAGGTTAGAGAGGCCCTGTGTCAACCACTAGCTCGTATGATACTTCTGCTTTCCACATCACTGTATCATTTGAGATTCAGTCAGAAGAAAGCAAAGCCACCACAATACTACGGGAAGAGGAATTTAGTCATCACACTCAACATAATTGGCACAGGGAGCCAGGTCTGACCACCCAGACATATTCAAGAATGAAGTCAAGGCCTTCCCTATACTTATTACACACTTGAAACTCACACAAACTGGCATCTGTGTTGGAGGCGTTGGATCAGGCTGATGGCGAAGGAGATGGGAGGGTCGAGATAACAAGGGTCCTATGTACCGACGAGATGAACGCGCTGATACGGGGGAGAAAAAGGGGAGCTCTGGCATTATTTCAGTGGCGGATCATCTGGCCAGGCCAGTGCTCACTTGGTCCTTGACATTCGTGTCTGGTCATATCAAGAATCGGATCTTAGACCTCAGCTGGCGGATATGGCTCATGGAATGAAGCTCGAGAGGTCTCTCCAGAGCATGAGGGTAGGCTTCAAGATCATATCCTGGCTGCCCTCCTCATTTCAGACTAAGCTCCATGCCCCTCCCTAAAATGCTGGAAGAATTTATTCTCCCCCCCTAGGCCATCGGAGCACTGAGAACAGGTGTGTTAGCAGTGCTTCCCCCTCCCCCACCCCTAAAAGCGGGCACATTGCTCTTTGGTGTGTGGGCTTGGGCCGTGGAGGGTCTTTAAGAGTCTGGGCTGGACATTCTAACAGTGTGAAGGCGAAATGGCAGAATGCTAAGGTACTCGACCTCTAAAGAGGCCCAACTTGAAATCTCAACTTCACGTGTTAAACTTGAGCAAATCGGGGCTAGAGCGATAGCACAGCGGGTAGGGCGTTTGCCTTGCACGCTGCCAACCCAGGTTTGATTCCCAGCATTCCACATGGTCCCATGAGCACCGCCAGGAGTGATTCCTGAGTGCAGATTGAGAAGTAACACCTGTGCATCTCCAGGTGTGACCCAAAAAGAAAAAAGAAACTTGAGCAAATCATTTAGCCTCTTTGATTTGCTTATCTATAAAATGAAATGAATAATCACTGGGTCAGAGGATTGAACAAAATGCCATGTCAAGCATTTAGGGTAATTCATGAACTATAGGAAGCACTCAATAATTCTGACCACTCATTATGAAAATTAGTCTAAACACCTCTCAGAGCCACAGTGAAACCTGGTAATGAACCTCAAAGTTAATGCCATAATTCAGCACACCCTTAGAAGACACAAGTGCCCCAAAAGTAGGGTTCCTTCAGAGTTTTTGTAACCTTCTTAGGAGGCCCTAAATCTGAAGTCATACGGAAAACCTAATACTGTGCTTGCCCTGAATTAGAAATGAGACCTCTGCATTTGTACTTAGAATCAGTGCATCTCAGTGGCCCTGCTGAACTTCAGAAGGCTCAGGAGAGAGGGTTGGGACCAGAAAAATTCAGTTCCTCACCGCCACTGCCTCTCTTCCCTTCCATTCAAGCATTACCAGGCTTCCCCTGGACACTGTCTCCCTAGAACCCCGCGCAGGGGCACAGAGGAAGAAAGGAGAGTTCAGATTACTGCAGCACACACATCTGGATTTTCTTCTACCGGTGCAAATCCTCCAGTGCTCTGTTCCGTGCCTCCCTTCCGACTTCACTCCTGTGCAAACAGTCCCTCGGAGTACAGTGGCATCTAGTGGTGGTCTCGTGTGCCCAGTCAGTTGGCCCACATCCCCCACTGTCTCTCTTTAGTTCCCGAAACCCCATCTGAGTCCCAGTCTGTGGGTCTATTTCTCATTAAGCAGAAGGAGGGCTCTGCAGGGAGGTGAGGCAAGTCAAGAGAGACTCTGTGTCATTTAAGTGTTCCCTAGCTGACTTAGATGCAGAATTTCACTGAAAATTGCTTTCAACTGCTTTTTGTGTGTTTGTGTTTGTTTTGGGGCCATACCCAGCAGTGCTCAGGGCTCACTCCTGGTTCTGCACTGAGGGATCACTCCCCGTGGAGCTCGGGGGACTATATGGGGTACCAGGGATAGAACCCAGTTGGCCGTCTGCAAAGGCAAGCACCCTACCTTGCCGTACTTTGTTCCAGGCCCATCTTTCGGCTCTCTCTGTCGGGCTCTTGTCACTGTCTTGTTTGTTTTCCTATGGAAATCTCATATAATGATCCTAAAGCATGTAAGTTAAAACATAGTAAATATTCAAAATTCATGTACTTCAGCCTCTCCTAAGAGTCTGAGACACTAGGGTCAAAATACTAATGTAGTCATTGATTTATTTAGCCAGCAAGTATGTACTGAGGACCCACTATGTCTCAGAGGGCGATTTCTACTGGAGCTCCAGATTCAGTAATGATCAAGACATTAAAAAAAAAAAAAAGCACTCTATAATGTGTTTCTCAAGATATGTTCCATGGAATAAACATCTGTTGGATGCTCTGTGGAAAAGTATTTGTAGATTATAGTTAGTTTAAAAATACTACGTAGTATCTTTTTCTTTTAAAACATTACATGATGCTTTAATCATCTCGTGATGATTGTTGTTTTATTAAATACTCAAAAATCTTACAGTAAATGAAATCATTTAACTTATTACATCTAGTATTTTCCAAACATATTTTCTCAATATGCCAAACACAGTAACAACAAGTCTCACAATGGAGAGGTTACTGGGCCCACTCAAGCAAATCGATGAACAACGGGAGGACCATGACCATGATTTTCTCATTCAAGGCATTTCTGTGAGCACACTTTAGGAAATATTTCCGTACACTTGTTTTGTGTTCTTTGCTATGTTTTATACTTTCAGACTCACAACAGAGAGTAATGACTGTGTGGGTCTGCTACCGAATTAACAAAGGCATTGCCATATTTGCTTCAGATCTCAAACATTGTAGATGCAATTGAAGGCTCCTTCCATTAACCAATACTATGTGATAAAAAGCCGAATAGTGGTAAGTGCAGTGGTAAGAAAATAAAGCAGAGTAATAGTAAGAAGAGAAGAGGTATGTCAAATAAAGAGGACAACTTCCCTGAAGAAGAGATGAATAAAAGGCATCAAGATCATTCTTCTAGTACAGAGGCCCTGAACCCCTGCCACGAGAATACGTCTCATGAGTTGTATTCATGAGTTCAGGGAAGGACGCCATTGCTGGAGTTCAGTGAGCAGAAAGAGCCATAGAAAATGAGGTTGCTCAGACCACTTGTTCAAAATGTGCCACGTTCAAGTTGCAGTCTTCTTGACAGTAAAGGTTGTCTCTGGGCTAGAAGGGCTGCTGGGATGGAAGGCCTTTATTTGGATTGTCTTACCCACCTTGGGAGCAGGAATGGCAACGGTGATGCAAATGACTCCTTTCTAGAGGTGCTCATGGTCAGGGCTCCCAGTGGCATATGTCCTAGTGAGCTCTCAGCAGGAGAACAGGAATTCTAAAGGCAGAGCCCTCTTTGAGTAGGATGAAAGGAGCATCTCAGCCTACACGTGGTGTGTTGCAGCGAGGCTTAGGAAGTTGTTTTCTGTATTTTCTTTTTTGTTTGTTTTATTTTAGAGCCATACCTGATAGTGGTTAGGGCTTACTATTGAACCAAGGCATGCACCCTCGCCACTGTAGGTCATTTTCTTTAGCCAGAAGACAACGCCCACTCTCCCTGGCAGGCTAGAGAGATATGTATACCATGCTGGCGTATTTCCAGACACCATCTATATTTTGATTCTCTCAGTGATGGCATTCTGTCCCGCTCAGCAGTGAACCCGTTTCTTCATTTTGATTTTGTATTACACTCTCATCGAAAGACTGTTAAAATCCTTAGCAGGTGGGGGGGAGGATTGTCTGCCAACTGCGTGTGCTTGGTGAGTGTAACGTGTCTTCTGAAGGCTACTGCTTCTACGCACTCCTGAAGTGTTAGCACGAATCTTCTCTTTGAGGAGAGAAAGGGAAGCCATATGGCCGCGTCATTCACTGAGCTGTCATGTGCGTTTGGTAGACAGTCTCTTCATTGAGCAAGGAATCGGGAAGGGAGAGTCAAGTCTGCCAAGGCATATGCCAAAGCCACTGAGTGCCAGAACTGATTTCCCTAATTTGAGTGGCGCATAACTGTGAATTTATATCCATCCCTCTCAAAATGTTTCCCTTAGTTAGCTGAATTTCTCCGAGAAAAATTATCTTCTTGAGGTGAGATGCTGAGGACCCAGTCCTTTGTTTCTTGAATTCTAGCCCCAGTTGTTTGTTTCAGAGTTTACCACATGTTCAAGAGACCCAGGAGCCCTTCCCAGTGATTCTTTCCTATTTTCTTTTCTTTCTTTTTTTTTTTTTTTTTTTTGCTTTGGGGCCACACCCAGTTGTGCTCAGAGTTTACTCTTGATTTTACACTCAGAGATCACTTCTGGTGGGTTTGGGGTCCAGGTAGAGTGACATGGATCAAACCCAACTCATCTGTGTACAAGGCAAACACCCTAGTGATTCTTGTAGTATTACTATTATTATTTATTATTATTATTGAATCACTGTGGGATAGCTACAAAGCTTTCATGATTGAGTTTCAGTTGTACTATGATCGAACATCCACCCCTCCACCAGTGTACATTTTCCACCACCAATGCCCCCAGTATCCTTCCCGCCATCCCACCCCACCCCACCCCCTGCCTTTATGGAAATTTCCTTCTTTCTCTCCCTGCTTTTGAACATGATGGTTTGCAATACAAATACTGAGAGGCCATCCTGTTTGGTGCTTTGTCTCCTTTCAGCACACATCTCCTATCCAGAAGGAATATGGAACACTTCAAGAATTTGCATGTCAGCCTTGCACAAGCTCCATGCTAATCTGTATCATTCCAATTTTAGTGTATGTGCTGCCGAAGCCAACACCCTAGTGATTCTTGACCAACCACGCCAGTGACTCAGTGCAAGGGCCGTGGAAGGTGGTATTGCTGCAGCTGAGGGTTATTCAGGCCATCTGACAGTGCTCAGGGGTCTTCAGGGCCACACCGGCCACCCGCAGGGTACTGAGGGCCTCTGGAAGAGCACTTGCCTATGCTTAGGGGAACCATATGGTACCAGTGATCCAATTGGGAACAGCCATAGAGGGCTGCACCTGAACCCCTGTCCTATGTCTCCTGCCCCCAGCATCAGTTTTGACTCAGGACATGGTCCTCCTAGTTTTGTGCCATATATTACATAGCACAATGTATTACATTATTACAGCATCATTACAAACTCAGAAATGTAAAAATGTAATAATAGTTCCCTGAATTTTAATAGTGCTTAAGCATGCGTTTTTAAAATAATTTAAAAAAATCATTGGTATGTACTCTTAGCAGTTTTTGTGTTTCTGGAGAACAGTGAGTCACATTAATTGTATAGAGACTCCTAAATGATTTTTTTTGTTGTTCTATTTGGTTTTCTGACCACTTAATTCCTTCCTTTATGCCTGCCCTCCCCCACCTCACCCCCACAAGCCTGGTGAAATATTTTGAGTTTATAATTAAAGCTCATTATAAGTACTTGGGTTTGAGGCAACTTTCAAGGGGAATACCGTGCCAGGATTGAAAGTCCTTCCCCCTTGGGGGTGGGGGGTGGAGGGGGAAGCCCTAAACACTGCCTGAAGGGGCTTGTAAATGAGAGGGTCCAGCACTGGGAAGTGTACGGGCAGGTTTTGCTGGGCTTCTGGAAGTCATCCATGGGTGAGAGGCTCCTGAGAGTAAAACCTCCAATAAACCCTTTATCAGATGAGGGTAGGTAAATATTTTCTCCCAGTCTGTGGAGTGGTTTTTTAAATTCTCATCATTGTTTCTTTTGTGGTGCAGAAGCTTCTTAATTTGAGGTAGTCCCATGTGTTTTATCTTTGCTTCTGTTTGGCCAGTAGCTTTGAATCACTGCAGATGCCTCTAGAGTCAGTGTCATGAAGAGTTCTACCTAGGTTTCCTCTATAATTTATGAATTCCTGATATCAAGGTCTTTATTCCATTTTGGTTTAACTTTTATGCATGATGTTAAAAAGGGGTCTGGGTTTATTTCTTTATTTTGCATGTGACCAGTTTTCCCAGCGCCATTTGTTGAAGAGGCCTTCCTTGTTTCACTTCATATCAAAGATTTATCAGAGATTAACTGTCATATAACTAAGGATCTGTATCTGGACTCTCAGTTCTATTCATTTGGCCGGAGAGCCTGTCCTTATTCTAGTACCACACTGTTTTGTTTACTATAGCTTTATAGTACAGTTTGAAGTATTCCCCTTAGGATTTCTTTGACTACTGGAAGCAGAGAGGGAGTATTATTTTTCAATATAAATTTCAACAGTGTTTGATCTATGTCTTTTAAAAGTGGTGGAAGGAATCAGACATCTTGGTGGAAGGTGGGGTGTGACAGTGATTTATGTGAGAAATCCTCCCATTAACAGTCTTGTAAACCAGGGTGCCTAAAACAGAATTCGATTTAAAAAAAAATGACTTTGATAAAGCTTCCCTCCTTTTCCTTCTCTCACTAACTTCTTCCAATTCAACTCACTTTCTCTGTCTCATTCAGTTTTGTATTTTGCATTTCTCTTCACAAACAAAATGTCTCTAGTTCAGTCGAGATTCCAGGAAAACTGCCAGGGTGTAGCCTTCAATTCCATAAAAAGGAAAGCTATTAGCTAAAAATGTACACATGGACACACACAGTCCCCCTCACCCATTCACATGCCTGGACTCCTACTAAGCTCCCCACCCCGTCATCCCACAAACAGCCCCTGGAGACATAAAATTTATCTCCCTCTGCCTCTCTCCTGTCCCTCCCCCAGCTCTGTCATGCCGGGGCTCACTAGCAATGTCCTTTTCAGCACACAGCAGATCACCTCCATGGGCTGCCTGTGCCCAAAGACCATGTGACTTCCGCTCTGGTTCCCGTTCCTTCCTTGCGAGCCTGGACGATGAAGCGGAGGCACATAGGTTAGAGTATTGGGCAATGAATCAATCCAGAGGCTGCTGAGCAAAGCCCAAATATGGCCCTCTTCACCCATCCTTCCCCCGACCAAACAATTCTGTCCATGGGTGCATTTATAAACTAGTTCCCGTGCCTGCTGAAATCCAGCTCCTGGGGCTGACTGTCGTGTGTCTTCCTCTTCCAGCTCCTCCACCAGTGACCTCTCCAGCTACGACCATGCCTATCTGAGGCACAGCCCGGACCGGTGCAGTTCACAGGGGAGCATGGAGAGCCTGGAGCCCAGCGGGGGTTACCCCGCCTGCCATCTGCTCTCCCCGGCCAAGTCGACCAGCAGCATTGATCAGCTCAGCCGCCTCCACAGCAAGAGGGACTCGGCGTACAGCTCCTTCTCCACCACTTCCAGCATCCTCGAGTACCCGGCCCCTGGCATGGCCAGCCGGGAGCGGTCAGGCTCCATGGACACCGTTTCTGCTCGAGGCGGCCTCCTGGAAGGGATGCGGCACGCAGACGTTCGCTATGTCAAGACGGTGTACGACCCCCGGAGGGGCGTCTCTGCAGAGTACGAGGTGAACTCTTCGGCCCTGCTCACCCAAGGCAGGGAGACCCGGGCCACCGCAGAAGGCCAGACTTATGACAAATGGCCCGGCGGCACTCCTCGGAGCAAAGGTGTGATACCCCCATCCTGGAGCCAACCTCAGGCGCCCAGCGGCGCCTTGGAAGCGACCAGTGACACATTGCCCCCGAAAGTGGGAGCCCCTCTCCCGCCAGCTCGGAGTGACAGTTTCGCGGCCTTTCGACACCGGGAGCGGCCCAACTCGTGGTCGAGCCTTGAGCACAAACGGTTCTGCCGGCCTCAGGCCAACTCTTCGGGCCTGAAACCTGCCTTCCTGGAGGAGCAGCTGCACACGGTGGTGGAGAAGAGCCCGGAGAGCAGCCCGCCCGTGCAGCCCAAGCACGGCTACGCACAGAAGGCCCAGCCCGGCCAGCCGCTGCTGCCCACGGGCGTCTACCCGGTCCCGTCCCCGGAGCCGCACTTCGCGCAGGTGCCCCAGCCGTCGGGAAGCACCAACGGCACGCTCTACCCGGCGCTGGCCAAGGAGAGCGGGTACGCCGCCCCGCCGAGGGACCAGCTGGGGATGCTGGACGAGCGTGGGACCCAAAACGGATCCGGCCGGCCCGGCTTTGCCTTTTACCAGCCCCTGGACCCCAATGCCCTCTCCCCCGACGAGAGGAAGCCTGAGACGGCGGCCAAATACGCCCCTTACAAAGTCCACTTCCCGTCGGTGCCCGAGAAGGAGGAGGAAGAGGAGGACGCCGTCTCCCCGGAGAGGCCAGGCGCGCCCCGCGGGGAGAGGAGGGCGCACGGCCACAGCCCCTACTCAGGCTACCACGCCCTCCGGTCCCCGCCCGCCGGCGCCGCCTGGCAGCTGGCAGAGGACCAGTGGCCGCCCAGAGCCGCCACCGCCGAGTCCTGGGAAGGGCCTGGCCCCGAGGACCCCGACGCCCATCCCCCGCGGAGGCCGGCGCGGGAAGGCCCAGCCCAGAGCCCGCCCGGCTACTTCTTCGGCGGGGCCACCGCCCGGCCGGCCTTCTCCTCGCTGCAGAACATCCCCGACAGCCTGCGGAGGCTGAGCTGCCCGGAGGCAGGAGACGGGCTCCTCCGGGAGGCCGGCAGGAAGGCGGGCGCGGAGCTCCGGAGCCATCCGGACGGGCCGGTTTCCTCCTCCCCACGGCCCGAGGGGAGAGCCGGGCCCTTGGCTGCCTTCCCGAGCTCGGAACCGGGCTCCGAGGAGCCGTCGGGGCCTGGACCAGGGCCGGGCCGGAGGCAGCTGAGCTCGGCCGGTGCAGCGGCCCTGCAGGGCTTCCAGGCGGGGCAGCCGCACTGCTCGGTGCTGGAGAAGGTGTCCCGGATCGAGCAGCGCGAGCAGGGCGCGCAGAGAGCCCCGCAGTACCGGCCGCACCGCGACCTCGACGTCGCAGCCGCAGCCGAGCCGCCGGGGACCGAAGACGTCGCCGCCGCTGCCACCTGGCAGCCGGCTCGGAGGTCCACGGGCCGCCTGCTGCGCAGCGTGAGCACCTTCCAGCTGTGCGGGGAGGACGACGCCGCACCCGCGCCCGACGCGCCCTTCAGCCGCGACTACCGCGCCAGCATCAAGGACGCGCAGTGCCGCGTGCTGGGCGCCACCTCGTTCCGCCGCCGCGACCTGGAGCCTGGTGCGCCCAACGCCACCAGCGCCACCGCCACCCCGCGCGTCTGGCGGCCGCGGCCCGCGTCGGCCCACGTGGGGCTGCGGAGCCCCGAGGCGGCGCCGGTGGTGCCAACGCCGGTGGCCGTCGCATCCCCGCACACGCCGCGGGAGCGTCACAGCGTGACCCCGGGGGCCGACGGCGACGACCCCGGGCGGCCGGTCCCCGCGCGCAGGGGGCCCCGGCGGCGCCTGACGGCCGAGCAGAAGAAGCGCTCGTACTCGGAGCCCGAGAGGATGAACGAGGTGGGCGTCGCCGATGACGATGCCGAGCGGCCGCGCGCAGGAGGAGGCGGCGGCGGCCCCGACGGCTCCGTGGCCGACCGGCGCCGCCTGTTCGAGCGCGACGGCCCGGCCCGGCCCGCGCGGAGCCTGACCGGGCCCGAGCTGAAGCAGCTGCAGCAGAGCGCGCTGGCCGACTACATCCAGCGCAAGACCGGCCGGCGCCCCTCTGCCGCCCCCCTCGACGGCCCCGGCCTGGCCCCCGCCGCCAGCCTCGGCTCGCTGCTGCGGGAGCCCCGCCGCGAGCCGCCCCAGCCCCAGCCGCAGCCCCAGCCCGGGCCCCGCGACCGCAGCAGCTCCTTCGCGGGCGGCCGCGTCCTCCTCCAGCGGGACTGGCGGCGGGACCTGCCGGCCCACGGCGGTGGCGCGCCCCGGCCCGACCCGAGGGCCCCCGAGCCGGCCCCGTGGGCGCGCCGCGCCGCCAAGTCCATGTCGGCCGAGGACCTGCTGGAGCGCTCCGACACCCTGGCCGCGCCCGTGCACGTGCGCTCCCGCTCCTCGCCCATCGCCGAGAAGAAGCGCCAGGTATGTGCAGCCCCGGCGCGGGCCCCAGACACCCCCCTCCTCCCCTCCCCCGGGGGTCCCGGGAGCTTTCACGTGTGTGTGTATGTGTGTGTGTGTGTGTGTGTGTGTGTGTGACCGCCAGGTATGTCCAGTCCCGGAGCGGGCCCCAGACCGCCCCCCCCTGGGGGGGGGGGTCCCGGGAGCTTTCATGGACCTCGTGTGTGTGTGTGTGTGTGTGTGTGTGTGTGTGCGCGTGCGTGTGTGCGCGCGCACCAGGTACGTGCAAGCCCTCCCCCTCCCCCACCCCCACCCCCCGTGGGCCCGGAATGCCCCCTTGGGACCCGGGAGCTTTCACGGAGCTCGGGCGTGTGTGAGCGCCAGGTACTTGCAAGCCCCCCTGTGCAGGCCCCGAGATGTCCTTTTGGGTCCCAGGAGCTTTCATGGCGCTCCCGTGTGCATGTGTGTGAGCGCCAGGTACCGGTGCAGCCCCTATGTGGGCCCCAGACACCTACCCCCAGATACGTGCAGCCCCTATGCGGGCCCCAAACAACCCCTCCTCGGGGGTCCCAAGAGCTTTCACAGAGCTCCCATGTGTGTGCCTGTGCATACGTGTGTGAGAGCCAGGTACGTGCAAGCCCCCCCCCCCCCCAGACACCCCCTTGGGTCCCGGGAGCTTTCATAGCACTCCAGTATGTGTGCAAGCCCTGTAAGCGTTCATGGAGCTCCCTTGTGTATGTGTGTCTGTATGTTGTCTGTATGTCTGTGTGTCTGTGTGTGTGACACCCAGGATCCTGAGTTGGCTACCTGCAAGCAAGTGCCCTAGTCGCTGTACTGTCGCTTGGGCTCCCAGTTTTCCTTTCACATGCAGAAGAGTAGCACTTGTGTTCCGGGTTGTTTCTGGTTTGGGGCTCACATCCAGAGTTGCCCAGGGCTGCTGACTCCTGCCTGGGATCATTCCTGGGAGGAGGGCTCCAGGTGCCAATATCAGACCTGGTCGGCTGCCCTAAGGCAAGCGCTCTACCTGTTCTACTGCCTCTCAGGCGCCTCTGCCCAGTGCTGATACTCTTGACAGAGATAGCTTTAACTCTAGCGAGAGATAATCAATATCTGCATAGTTCTGTGGGTCTCTGATGTATATCATATACAAATATGCATGATGTATATCTTATACAAATATGCATGTAGATATCTATATGTGAGTTATAGAACTATTATATAATAGCTAATAGGTAAAAGACCTTCGTTTTAGGAAGTGAATTGTCTTGGTTTTTATTTTTTTCATTTTGCTCTTTCTAAAGTCATGGAATTGACACTAAGTCAATATTTTAAAGACTTTAGTTTTTGTGTCCTCCTGTTTCTGTTGCACTTTTGCATTTCCATAATAGCCAGAATTATAGCACAGCGGTATGGCGTTTCCCTTGCACACGTCCGGCCTGGCCGAGCCGGGTTCAATTCTTCCGCCCCTCTCAGAGAGCCCAGCAAGCTACTGAGAATATCTTGCCCACACGACAAAGCCTGGCAAGCTACCTGTGATGTATTCAATATGCCAAACACAGTAACAACAAGTCTCAAAATGGAGACGTTACTGGGCCCGCTCAAGCATTGACTTTGATCATAATTGACTGTTGAGTTCCAGGTCCTCAGTTAAGTATGTTTTTTATTTATGATTGCATTCATCCTTGCATTGAACCTATTCAGTAGAGTTTTAGATCCTCCACCCAGATCCCCCATCTTCCAGTAGCTAGACAGTTACACCCACCAACTGCCATGTAATCCCATCAACGGCCAAGATCCAGAGACTATAAAACCAAGCTGCCTCTTATTGTCTAGTTCTCACTCCCAGAGAATCCAGCAGGCTACCAAGAGTCTCCTGCCCGCATAAATTCCTGACTGGGAACACCTGTAAAGGTGATTAGAGGCTGCTCCAAAAGTCTCCATCCCTCTCGGAGAGCCCAGCAAGCTACCAGGAGTATCCCACCCACACGACAGAGCCTGGCAAGCTACCCGTGGCGTACTCGATATGCCAAAAACAGTAACAATGATGGGCCTCATTCCCCTGACCCTGAAAGAGCCCCCACTTTGTCATCGGGCTATACTAGTACATGACAGGGATGAAAGGAGATGTTACTTGTGCCCGCTCGAGCAAATCGATGAACAACAGGGTGATAGTGATACTGATAGTGATCAAACAAATATCTTTCCAAGTCCTGTTTAAGCTCCTTTGGTCCACTATCCTGCTGAAGTAGAAGACTCACACAGACTTTCAAATCACACATCAAGGGATTTTCTAGTATCTCCAAACTACGCAGAGTCTGAAGTGCTTCCCAGTGGAAATCAGGCAGACCTAGAAATATAACTTGGGTACTGGCTCCCAAGAATCTAATTTTCTCTAATTCTTAGTTCCCTCTGCTGCTGATCACTGGCCTGCCTTGTGCTTCTCTCCCGTCCTAAGCAGATCGTAGGAATCCATTCCCATGGTTGCTGGCAGGGGAGAACACCCATCCTTGTTGCATGTCGGGTTCTGAACTTCTGACAGCGAAGTCTATAGTCCAGCCAGCTTTTGTAGTGCACATTTGCATAGAAAACTCTGCTTACAGAGTTGGGAGAAGCTAGAGGGAAAGTAAGGCACAGGCGCTTCTGGGGGTCACACTTGAGCACACATGAGCATGGCTGAAGCAAATTGCACACTAACGAATGCATTGGGAGCAGTGATACAATAATAGGCTATTGAGGGCAAGGGATTAATTCTAACTGGGGGATCCAAGGAAGGTTCTCATAAGGAGACTGGATTCAGACCTGCCAACAGTGTTTCTTAAAGTGGGTAATAAAAAGCTGGGGACATTTTCTGCTTGTTTGCGTAAAGAAGGTACATTTCAGGGGCCACAGGGGTCGTGCTCTGAGCAAATTTTGTGCCCGAAAAGGAGGCGGTAGGCCAAGTAAGTTTGGAACTTCTCCAGGAAGAATGTTGACAACAGGCTGAGGAGGAGGGTATGTGTTGGGGTGTGTGTGGGGGCGGGGGGAGGGATGTTGTCAGACACTAGTTGAAACAGTTCAGAGAAGATTTTGGCTCTTGCCTCCTGAGAAGTGTGCCACGTTGCCCTGAAACACGCGTACACCGAGCCTGATGAAAGAAAACACTGCAGCCCTCCCAGAAACTTTCTCACCACATTAGCCCACTCACTGCCCCCAGGCACACCATCTCCAGAGGTATTCCCCTTTCAGCCTTCCCTCGACGTTCTGCCTCAGAAAACAGAGCAGAGTTCCCATCACCTAAAGCACTCGAAATCTATAGGTGACCAGCGCTTTCAGCTAGTTCCATGGTGGGCTTCAGTAGCTTACTGAATTGCCAAATATTTTCTTCACCTATCTCACCGAGTTCTAGGAAGGTAAGAAATGCTTAAGTGAACACCAAATTACCTTTAGCTTTTTCTTCAGTAGTTACTGAAGAACTTGGATAGCTGTATTTGTTACTTGTTCTCCTGTAGTATTTCTTTAGTTTGCTCAGCTGGAAAGTAGAGCTAAAACAGCTATAGAGAAAAAAAAGAGAGAGACTCTAAATCCAAATATTTCAGAGTACAAATCTCAAAAACTTTTTGAGGAAGACAGTGAGCAGGCATTCTTTAAAACATCTTGGCCTGGGGCTGGAGAAATAGCACAGCGGATAGGGCGTTTGCCTTACACGCAGCTGACCTAGGTTCGATTCTCAGCATCCCATATGGTACCCTGAGCACCACTGGGAGTAATTCCTGAGTGCATGAACCAGGATTAACTCCTGTGCATCGCCCGGTGTGTCCCAGAAAGCAAAAGAAAAAAAAAAATCTTGCCCTGAGAGATGATCCCTCTGCAACCGCAACTTTGTCCCATGTCCCACTAGGTCCCCGCAGAATTATTAACGATACTGGCTTTGTTTCATGTTTCATTTTTGTTTGGCTTTTTGGGATAAGGTCCCAGAACTTGACTGTTATCATTAAGCTTTTGGTGTAAGTGTTAAATGAAAATTTTTGCCCTTGTAGCTTTAGAGAGCCACTGTGTGAGAAATTCAGTACAGAACACGTACAGGCCATCTGCCTGACGTAACCCAAAAATACAGAGTCTCCTTCTGCTGGCTCAGATGCTACTGTTCTGTCAGCCAGCTGCAAATGGAGCAGGGTTTTATGAGCTTTGATTCAGCTCCTTTTCAGAAGTTCAGGAAAGAGGACAGGTTTTTTTTTTTGTCTTTCTAACAAGAAAAATCATTTCCTCTCATTAATGATGAGCCATTCTTGGGCCTGGGAGAAAGACCAGGGAACATGGCTTTTCTTGAAGCCCAGGGCCCGCTCAAATGCTTCAAGGGCCAGGTGCATCCTGACCTGACTGTCATCCTCTGAAACTCGCAGACTCATCACTGCTGCTTTCATTCCTCCTGATTTGTTTTTTTTTTTTCTTTTTGGGTCACACCTGGTCGTGCACAGGGGTTATTCCTGGCTCTGCACTCAGGAATTACTCCTGGCGGTGCTCAGGGGACCATATGGCATTCTGGGAATCGAACCGGGGTCGGCCGCGTGCAAGGCAAACGCCCTACCCGCTGTGCTATCTCTCCAGCCCCCCTCCTGATTTGAAAGGTCTAGTCACAGACCAAGTGGATGCAGGTAGTGGACTGAAGGGCGGCACATCAGTTTTTCTACTTTCTATGGCACTTGGGAATTGAACCTTTTTTAAGTAGATGGGTCCTGCAAAGCTGCAGAAAAATCCCGAAACACTCCTGCTTGAGAGAGAAATTTATACCTATTCATTGCATAAATCTCAAGTACAACAAAAAGTATAAAGAGAAACCTTTTGAAGAGATAAGATTCCTGGTTGGGAATTTTTTATTTTTCCAAGTGCTTAGTTAGAGGCTCCTCTGGTTCTTGCTGTGTTTTCAGAGGCCTTGGTTTCCAAGGTACAATATGTCATGTTTCTCAGATGGCATCAGCTAATTGTGCCAAAGGCCCATCACTGTGCTAAGTGTTTAAGATGCATAAAATGTATCCTTCTCCACAAAGAGGTGAATGGTATTGTTGTCTGTTATAAATGAGTGGCCTGAGGCTCAGGAAAAGATGAGAGATTTGTCTGTGGATGTGGGAGTGAGGTTTTTGTTTCCCTATTGTCCCCAGTCTTCAAATCGCAGTAAGCTCCCTCTCTGAGTTAAGAACAGAGGGGACTGGAGGGATGCAGACATTACCTCCTATATCTGAAAAGTTCGTCCAGTGAATTTATTTCACCTTAACACTCACCAGCCTCTATTATTTACATTGAAGGAACATTTCCACATTTTTCAAATGGATGCCTGACTCATTTTAACAGACATTTAAAACTCACTCCAAAGTAGATGAGTGTTGTTCTTTGCATTTCATTGGTGAACGAGATACTACAATATCTCATTTGGAACCCAAAACGAGAATAGGTTATCAAGATTTAGCAGACCTTATTGTTTTAAGTGTACTGTGTCTAATGAAGATTAGAACTGGAATATTTTTAAGTCTGTTGCCAAAAGTTAGATATAATTAACAAAAGCAAATGACGTTTAAAAAGTGTTGGTATATCTGTATATTTGGCACTTCCCCCCTAACCTCTGCTCTTTCCAAAATTGACATAATAAGTACCTTATACTTCTTGCTAGTTTATAAAGAATAAAGTCTTTGAAAATGAATCTGTGGTCAATTAAAGCAAATAAATGCAACAGAAGTTTTCCCTCTGTGGGCTTTTACTAAATTGCAAAGGCATTTCCCATCTATTCAAATAGTATTTCTACTGACGGGGGGTTTAGAGTTTTCTCAATAGTCTATTACTTGGTCTAACTTCTTTCATTTGATGCCACTCACATAAATATAAACTTCAGCTCATACTGTAATTCAAAGGAAATGATCGAATGGGAAAATACATTTCAACACGACTGGGTTAGGAGCTTAAGAGGACCAAAAGGCCGTTCCAATTAATGATTGGCAAAGCTTCACATTCATGCCCACAGAAGGGATGGAGTTGGGGGAGACTTGAAAAGGACCCATAAGGATTCATGGCGAGCAGGAATCCCCATTCCCTGTAGTGATATTTGAGCGAATCAAAAACACATGGAATTCCTTTTACTCAAGGCATTGAAGTTTAATTGCATCCAGCCCCAGTCACACCACTCAGCCTGTTAAAATTCCAAAGAAAGATCTCAGGCTTTGCCGAGATCCTGGTTTGGGTCCTGGCTCTTGCACTTATTTAACTGTGGACAAAGAAATTTAACCTCTGTGAGCTGCAGTTATCTTCCCTCAGCTCTGGACCTGGGGAGAAATTACAGACGAGGATGCGTGAGATGCCTAACACAACTCCAGGCACATAATTTGAGGACTCTGAGGTACTTAACAGAGTGTCTGGCACACAGTAAATACCCCATAGAGGAAAGCTGCAATTACTACTAATAATCATGTGTATGCTGCCTCTCTAGGCCCACAACTACCGTGGCTCCTTTCAGTGTTTATTAGTAACTTTGCCATTCACTAAAGAAAAAATGAGAAAGGCGGTGAAAAGCACTCTTGACAAAACGGGTGGTGAAATAAGTGGCTGAAGTTAACTTTAAGGTTTATATATGGGCTTAGTTTTTTTTTTTTTTAACTTGTCTCATCATAAGTAATTGAGTTTTCTGGCTTGTTTTGGTTTGGGGGCCATACTTGGTAGTGCTCAGGGCTTACTCCTGCCTCTGAGCACAGGGATCACTCGTGGTTGGCACAAGGGACCATGATTTGAGGTGCCAGGGATCTTACCTGGATCGGCTGCTGCTTACAAGGCAAGCGTCCTGCCCCCATACTATCGCTTCTGCCCAGTAATTAAAATTTAAATGTATTAGCAACAGCAGCGGCATTGTATTCACTGGGCATCTGTTCATCTGGGCAGCATTTTCTGTGATCAAATGCTGATCTTTATCCCTTTCATAAAACCAATGTACACTCTTAGCACTTAGCATTGTCCTCCCGGTTTTCATCGATTTGCTCAAGTGGGCCCAGTAACGTCTCCATCGTGAGATTTGTTGTTACTGTGTTTGGCATATGGAATATGTCACGGGGAGCTTGCTAGGCTTTGCCGTGCAGGCAAGATACTTTCAGTAGCTTGCCGGGCTCTTATCAAGAGCAAAATAAGTAATGGCTACCAAGCGTTACTGATTGATGTGGATGGATGTTTTCCCAGAGAAAATATGGTTGAACCTGATTACAGACCAGATTCATATCTTCTTAACTCCATGCAGTTGAGATTTCTGACTAGGTTCAATAAACTATCCTTTCCTTGTCTTTCATATTTTCCTATCACTGTTTACAAGCTTTGCTCTGTGTGTGTGTGTGTTTGTGTGTGTGTGTACACGCACGTGTGTGCATGCGTGCGCGTGTTGAGGGGGTGTGACTGGGTGAGTAGAGTACATATCTCTGGTGTGCGGCCCTGAGTTTGATGCCCAGCTCAGTTGATCTGTCAGTCTACTTACCCCTTTGTATGATTACGTTTCATTGTTACATTTCCAGTAGAGCAGACATTGTCAATCCTGAAGATAACTGTCATCAGAAGTTAATTAGAAATATGCTCTTAGTAGGAGACCGACCCTGTGAGACAGACTGAAACTCAAGTGGCCTTGGGACAGTTGCCTCTGCGGTCCTGTCTCCGCAAGCAGCGGCGCCCAAGTTCTTCCTAAGAGTGAGGAGGAAACGGGCCCCTGTGTAGGACTGATCGCTGCCCCGGCGCCTGGTGCTAGCAGCTGTCCCAATAGACACTGATTCTGCTTCCTGCCACCCTCTCGGTGAATCCAAATGCTTGTTTGTTGGTAAAACCCTTGTGCTTTGCTTCTGTTCCAAGGACATGCTGCTGGGGGAGAGCAACGGCTTCGGTTTTGTGAAGGATCCGCGCCATTTGGCTGACTACAGAACCAGGTACGTGTGCCCAGTGCATCGGTTGCGGAGAACAGCGTGGCACTTCCTTGGAGCGTTCAAAATAGAAATAGCATCTCACCCACGGTCCCACTTGTGAGTTTGCAGACAGAAGGATGGAAAACAGGGTCTTGAAGAGGCATTTCCATGACCAAGTGCATAGCATTGCTGTTCACACCAGTGAAGAGAAGCAGCGAACCATTCGTCCCATTGATAGAGGAAAAGGGAAATAAGCCGGCACACATGCATAGCGGTATATCAGTCCGTCTTTCAAAGGAAAGGAAATGCTATTACGTGCCATGCTGTGGATGCACCTTGAGGACATTGTGCTAAATGTATAAGCTCAAAAGTAAACACACACACACACACACACACACACACACACACACACACAAATACTGCATGCAGCCAGCCGCCCCTCTAAGAGAGCCCAACAAGCTACCAAGAGTCTCTTGCCCTCATGGCAAAGCCTGGCAAGCTCCCCATGACGTATTCGATATGCCAAACACAGTAACAACAAGTCTCACAATGGAGACGTTACTGGGCCCGCTCAAGCAAATCGATGAACAACGGGAGGACAGTGCTACAGTGCTACAGTACTACATCCCTAAGGACACATGTATGAGGGATCTAAAATAATCAAATCCATAGAAACAGAAATAGGGGCTGGAGAGATTTTCCAGTGGACAGGGCTCTTGCCGTGCGCGCAGCTGACTAGGGTTCAATCCTCAGCAACCCATTTGGTCGTCCCACCCAACTCCCCCCCACCGCCCTTCCCTCAGACTGCCCCTGCCCTTCCCGAGCGGTCCCTGAGTACACAGTCAGGAGTAAACTCAGAGTACCTCCGGGTGTCGCCAGAAAAAAAAAAAGAAAGAAAGAAAGAAAAGTAGATGGTGCTTTTATTGGGGAAAGGGGTAAAGAGAAGCTATTGGGGTCATACTATTGCAGATTAGCTGGGGGAGAAGCTCTGGGTCGCCCTCTCACAGCAGAGCAGATGAGCTTAAAAAGAACACACGGAAGGGTTAAAATGGTACATCTTAACGTGGTACATGTTCGGTGCTTTTTGTACACTTTTGTTTGGTGGTACTTGGCTGCTCCTGGCTCTGTCCTCAGCGGTCGCTTTAGTTGTGGGGTTGGGTTGGAGATCAGACTTGGGTCACCAGCCTGCAAAAATTGCACGGCGTCCATTGAGCTTTCTCTCTGGCCCCGGCTTGGCGCTTTTTACCAGAAGCCATGCAGGGAAGGGGGAAGATGTGAAGCCGATTGTTCACGAATTCCATTCTAGAATATTAGGATTCTTGGCTACTTCTCAACAGGCACATGCCTCTCACCCGATTACAAAAGAGACTTTATTCTTAGTTCTTGGAAAAACAAAACAGTCTCCAAGGAGAAGCATTTTCCACCAAACTCACTCAAATATTACCTTCAAAAATATAGTTCAAATATGGTTCCTATGGGCTGGAGTGATAGCACAGCGGGTAGGGCGTTTGCCTTGCATGCAGCCAACATGGCTGACGCGAGTTCAATTCCTCCACCCCTCTCGGAGAGCCCGGCAAGCTACCGAGAGTATCTCGCCCGCACGGCAGAGCCTGGCAAGCTACCCGTGATGTATTCGATATGCCAAACACAGTAACAACAAAGTCTCATGATAGAGACGTTACTGGGCCCGCTCGAGCAAATCGATGAACAACGGGAGGACCGTGATCCTTTTAGGACCGTGATGGTTCCTATAAACCATACTTAAACTTAAAACATCATACCAAAGTTTACTGCCCTGGATCTTGAAAGAATTAAGAGTTACACGATTACACTGTATGTTTTCGTGATATCTCTCCTAAGAAGCCTCAAGATACAGGGTTAAGTAAATGAAGTTCCCCAAATAAGTTATTAACACATCAAGTTTCCATTTTTTTCGGGTTCTATTAGAGGACTTTAAGTTTAAAAATAGTTCCTGACACTGGAAAGATAGTACAGTTGGTAGGGCGCTGCCTTTGCGCGTGGCTGACCTGGGTTCAATCCCCAGCATCCCATATGGTCCCCTGAGCACTGCCAAGAGTGATACCTGAGCATCACCAGGTGTAGCCCCAAGCAAAATCATGTGCTACGGTTAGAGAGTTCATACAACAATTAAGGCACGCACCTGGCATACAGCCAACCTGGGTTCCATCCCGGGCGTCACATATAGTCCCCTGAGTACTGCTAGGAGTGACCTCTGAGCAGATCCTGGTGTAAGGTGTGGTGTGGCCCCGAAACAACAACAAAAGGTTAAAAACGAAGAAATTATCCTGTTCTGCAATCTCTAAAGGCAGTGGGGCCTAGGAGGCATCGCTCCACAGAAATTCACAAAGAGGGCCTTGGTGAATTTGGCACAGGGGTGCCAAAGTGTCCCAGTAAGACATGAGAGTGCAGCTCATCCCCAGAAGTAGCCAGTGGCCAGTCCTCGAGACAGAGAAATGCTGGGTGAAGAGAACAGCTGTGATTGAAAGGGATCTGGGTGGGGACGCCGTAGCGGGTGGGGCGTTGCCAAGGGAGAGCCAGTGCTTAGCCCCTGTCATGGCCTTGAGGAGTAGCAGCTGGGGAGGACCCGGACTTGGTTCTTGGCTGGACACCGTCCTGGTCTGGCCCTTGGCTGTTTTGAGGCTGGGCCCGCGAGGGCTCTGTGAAGTGAGCGGCGCCATGTGCTCTGCGGATCCCATTCCCGTCCAGGTCAGGGCACGCTTCAGTTTGGGGAGGACTGGGGTTTGGTTTTGCTTTTTGCTTTTTGTTTGGTTTGTTGGATGGGAGCCATAGCACAGCGGTAGGGCGTTTGCCTTGCACGCAGCCAGCCCGGCTGAGCCGGGTTCAATTCCTCTGCCCCTCTCGGAGAGCCCGGCAAGCTACCGAGAGTATCTCGCCCGCACAGCAGAGCCTGGCAGGTTCCCCATGTCGTATTCCATATGCCAAACACAATAACAAGTGTCACAATGTTATTGGGTCCACTCGAGCAAATCGATGAACAACGGGAAGACAGTGCTACAGTGCTTGGTTTTGTTGTGGTCACACCAGTGGTGCTCAGGGCTTCCTCCAGGATTTCTCCTGGGAGACACAGGAGTTGCTGGGGCTTGAACCTGGCTTGCCTGTGCAAGGCCAGAGCCCTATCCACTGGGCTACTCTAGCCCCTGGCATCATGCAGGCCTGACAGGCAGGCAGTGCCAATGGCCTCCTGCCTTGTTTTCCCCTTTATTCCCTGTAGATCCCAGTAATCCCAGTAACGGAGTGCTGCCGATTCCCGGGAGGGGGTTTCGGTGGCCTCTCGGTGACAGTGTTTACATCTGCCACAGGCCATCTCTGCTCGTTTAGTCAGTATTTTTTTTTTGGGGGGGGTACCTGTTTTTCAGGCCCCTGTTAAAATACCCACCCCCCTCCTTAGTGCTACCTTTGTTTTGTTTGGGGCCACACCAGGGGCTCTCAGAGATCACTCCAGACAGCGCTCATGGTACTCTATGCCAGGGATGGAACCAGACGGTTTCCTGAGGGAGGAGGCGCCTCCCCTCCCTCCCCTCCCAGAGCTCTCTTTTTTTAAATTTTATTTTATTAGTGAGACTGGGCTGGAGCGATAGCACAGCGGTAGGGCATTTGCCTTGCAAGCAGCTAACATGGCCGACCCAAGTTCAATTCCTCCGCCCCTCTTGGAGAGCCCGGCAAGCTACCGAGAGTATCTCGCCCTCACGGCAGAGCCTGGCAAGCTACCCATGATGTATTCGATATGCCAAACACAGTAACAACAAAGTCTCCAATGGAGACGTTACTGGGCCTGCTCGAGCAAATCGATGAACAATGGGAGGACAGTGAGACAGTGAGACACCATGAGGTACAGTTGTAGACTTACACATTTTTGTGCTTGGGTTTCAGTTATACAGTGATCAAGTATCCATCCCTCCACCAGTGCCCATTTTCCACCACCAGTGATCTCAGTATCCCTCCCACCCCCCCAGTCCCCCCATCCCACCCTGCCTCTGTGGCAGGGCATTCCCCTCTGTTCTCTCTCTCTCCTTTTGTGTGCTGTGGTCTGTAAAAGAGGCATTGAGTGGCAATCATGTTCAGTCTATAGTCTACTTTCAGCATGCTTCTCCCATCCTGGGAGGATCCTCCCAACACCCTTTATTTGGTGTTCCCTTCTCTATCTGAGCTCCCTTTTCCCCTAGCATGTGTGGCTGGCCTCCAAGCCATGGAGCAAAATTCCTTGTACTAATCTCGGCCAGAGCTCTCTTGAGAGGACCTGAAGGACGTTCCCATCTCGACTGCCCGGGTCCAGGTGGGCTGCGGGGACAGTGAGCGACAGCTTCTGTCACCTCTACTGGGCTCGGGGAGATCAGCCAAAGGAGAAACAGGACACAGCACCTGCGGTCCTTAGCCCCACCCCCACCCCATCTCAGTGCTGACCCCACCCCAAGAGGATCCCGCGTGCAGCGTCCTAACCCTCTGTCTGTCCCGCCCCAGGTCGCTCGGGGGAGCAGAGCGAGGCCAAGAAGAGATGCCGGTGTTCAGGCGTCGTGGCGGCTCGGGGGATGGGCTGCTGGACCAGCCGCGACACACCGGGATAGCGCCGGGCCCCAGGCCACTGCCCACGGGAATGCCAGGGCATAGCGCCGACCCCAGGGCCCTCCCCTGCCCGCCGTCCGCCGACGAGCCACCTCCCCCCTACACCCCTGCCGGCAGCCACCGGAGCAACGGCCACGGCCCCGAGCAGGGGGTGCAGGCGTCCCGCAGGAGGGTGTCCCTGCCGCAGCGGCCCCCGCCCTCCCGAGTGAAGTGGGCCCCCGAGGTCAGCCTGCCGGAGGAGCCGTGGCTGGCCGCGTGTGGTGGTGGGCAGCTGAGTAGCACTTCTGAGCCCGACACGCCCGGCGGGCCGGCCAGCGCCCCGGGCCGGGTCTCCCTGCGCGTCTCCGAGTCGGGCCTGCGGGCCTCACCGCTGCCTCGGGACGACTTCGACGACGAGGTGTTTGCCAGGGACTTGCACCCCAATGCCACTTCCAGCCCCACCTTCGAGACGCTGCCCCCACCGCCACCGCCACCCCCGCTCCCCGCTGGGAGCCAGGAGGCCCTGGACCTGGACGGTGGCTTGGAGGACTTTCCCCCGCCGCCGCCCCAGCTGCTCTTGGAGGCACCACCCGAAGGCGAGGACTACCAGGGGCCGCGCAGCAGGTGAGTGTCCGCCTCCCCCGGGAGCCCGGGCGCCCTCACCGCCAGGCTTCCCTGCCAGCTCGGGAGGCCCAAGGTGTGCCTGGCACGTGAGAGTGTTTAAAGGGCCCCCCCAAAATAGCATCCCTACTCACCTGCCTGAGCTCCACGTTAGGTGAGAGATAAGCATAGAGAGCGTAAAAATATCCAAACTAATACTGGCAAGCTACGGAGAGTATCTCGCCCGCATGCAGAGCCTGGCAAGCTATGCCAAACACAGTAACAACAAGTCTCACGATGGAGACGTTACTGGGCCCGCTTGAGCAAATCGATGAACAACGGGAGGACCGTGACCGTGACAATACTGGGGAGTCCGCCTCCTCCCGGAGGAAGGGGGTCTCCCAGTGCCTAACCCCTACGTTAAATGAGCTTCCCACCTTGGGGCCGGATAGATGGTACAGTGGGGAGGGCCTTTACCTTGCAGGCAACAGACCCGGGTTCGATCCCCGGCGTCCCATATGGTCCCTCTGAGCACCGCCAGGAGTAATTCCTGAGCCAGGAGTAAGCCCTGAGCAGGGTGGGCTGTGGCCCCACCCCAAAGGGGAAAAGTTTCCCACGTAGTCGCGAACGATGTTCTTGTCCAGGTGTGGCTCAGAGAAGTCTGTTGTCAGCTTCTCCCTCCCTAGTGGCTCCTTGTCTGTAGAGGTCAGCCCCAAATCAGTCACGCTAAGGGAACGCCTCACCTTGGAGGCCTGACATTGTCCCAGTACAGCAATCACGACAAGTGCGTTCCTAGAACACCAGAAACTCTCTGGGGGCCCCTTTGTGCCACTTCCTCTCATTACCCTGAGAGTTATTACCACTTGGGACTGTCCTGTCCCTTCAGAGACCTTGGGGACCTCCGTATCCACCCCCACAAAGGTCACACAGCTTCCCGGGGACCAGCCAGTTGAAGGTCCTTTAGGACTCTGCAGTTTGGGGGGACAATAATAAAGAACCGTGGGAGTGCGACTCTGTTCTGCTCCTGATGTGGGGAGCACCCCCTCAGTCTGCACCCCACCCTCATCCTCGCCCTCTGACTCTCCTCTTCTGTGATATCCCTGGCAGCTCCAGCACGTTTGCCAAGGTGACAGTTGCCAAGGAAAGGCCCGTGCCTGGCACAGCCCATGTGGCTGGCGGTCAGACTCTGCCTTCTGGATCTCGGGCTTCGGTAGAGGACTTGGAAGCCCCCGAGGCCTCCGGCCTGGATTCTGCGCCCCCGCGGGACAGGCCTGCTGGCCCACAGCCAAGCCCAGGGTCAGCGCCCGCCATCCAGACCCGAAACCTCAGTCCCCAGCCCGCCACGGGGATTGAGAACCTAGATGAGAACGCCAGCCTGGCTCCTCAGAAGAGCTCCGAAGACATCCGGACGGAGGTCCTGGCCAAGGAGATTGTCCACCAAGACAGATCTCTGGCAGACATCCTCGATCCAGACTCCAGGATGAAGACCACCATGGACCTGATGGAAGGCCTGTTCCCCCGAGACGTTCAGTTGTTGAAAGAAAACGGAGTGAAGAGGAAGACCGTGCAGGGAACCGCGGGCTGCCCGGGATATGAAGGCAAGCGGTAAGTTCCTTCCTGCTGGCACCCAAAGGCAGGCTCAGACTCTTTCCTTGGGGCTGGGGAGAAGGCCGGGACTTGATCTTCATTTGTCTGAGGTGTTCCTGCGTCCACAAGCCTCACCCTAGAGGGGTGTAGCCTCTCGCCATCGGGGATCTTAGCTCCGAGGATAGGGTGCTGCAGATGCCACTCCAACAGCCACAAAAGAACAGCAATGTGATCACAGTTTCCACACGTGCCTATTGCTCATGTCATTGGCGTCAAGCACCCGTTCTATTTCTTTGAATCAGAGGTTCGCAGACTGGCCTGTGGCCTCCTTTCCAGGGAAAAACTCAGCCGCACCCTGGAAACCCGTCGTCTTGAAGTGAACAAATGAAAGCCACGCCCCTTCCCATCCCCTCCTTGCACCGAGGCTACTCCCCACCCCCGATATTTCAGCTTACTCCCCCAAACTGGGGGCGGTGTGCTCACTTCCAGGAAGACGATTTAAGCGAATGTTCTGTCAGGTGATCTGCCCATGGCCCATCGGAGCAGGCTACAATTCTACCTCCGCTTTTCAGATGAGGAAACTGAAGCACAGAGTCCCAGAACACAGGGGTGGTGGCTTCGGGCTTCGAGCCTGGCACTGCCCTGGAATCTACAGTCAGCGGCTCCACAGTGGCCGACCCCACCGGGTGTTCGCTGCCAGGGTTGAGGGCGTTGGTGCTGGTCGCTGAGACAGGTGAACTCAGAGAACAGGGGCCCCGGGCCGGAGCAATAGTACAGAAGAGAGGGCATTTGCCTTGCAAGCGGCTGACCTGGGTTCTATCCCCGGCATCCCATGTGGGCCCCCAAGCACCATCAGGAGTAACTCCTGAGTGTAAGTGTAGAGCCAGGAGTACCCCTGAACATCGCTGGATGTGACCCCCAAAAAACGCAAAAAAAAAAAACAGGAGCCCCTGCTGTGAAAGTTGAGGGTGCTGACAGACCTGCGGGGTGGGGGGGGAGATGCTCCGGGTGCTTTTGTTCAGCCTCTGCCCGTGAGGCTTCCCCGCATCCTGCAGCAGGTCCCTTCCCTCCCCCGCCCCCCCCCCCCCCCCCCGCCCTAACTTCCCCCCAACCCCCCTCCATGAAGCGACTCCAGAGTGGCTGTGTTTGTCATTCTTGCAATCTCTCCTCGGGGGCTGCCACATTTTTGTGCGTGTTTGACTTCCCTTTAGGGGCTGGTCTGGGGGAGACCACAGTGGTTTTCTACTTGGTTTTATCACTCTGTGATTTTTCAAGAGGAGCTGGGGATTGACAGACTCAGCAGTTGGTGTGACTCCTAGACTAAATAAAAAACATAATGTTTCATCCAAATTGCAGCTCGCATTTTAGGAATTCCCAGCTGATCCTGAGTAAATGGCTTACAGGGATACTGTGTTTTGATTTTTAATGGGGGGAGAAGGGGAGGAGGGGGAGGAGTAAGGCAGAAGGCAAGTAAAGGGATGGGATTCGCAGGGCGACAGTCTGCTCCCCTCACTCAAGGCTCCTCGCCCGCCCCCTTCCCAGAGGTGGCAGACAGGTGGGTTACACTGAAGGGAGTGGCTAGGGTCACTGTTGCACAAACATCACTGAGTGTCTGCAGGGTGCAGGGCAGTCTCCTGGGTACCTTGGGGGGACCACAGCCAGCAATGCTCAGGGCTTACTCCTGGCTCTGCCCTCAGGAGTCTCTCCTGCAGTGCTGGGGGACTCTATGGGGTGCTGCGGACTGAACTCCATTAGGCACATGCAAGGCAAGCACCCTGCCCGCTAGACATCTCCCAGCCTCCCTAAGATGAGTCTCTGTGGCAGTCACCAGGGGTGACCGTGATCGGTCATTTTTCCTTACCCGCCCCCCCCTCCGTTGTTGTAGGAAAGGCAAGGTAATTTACAGATGCCATCCGAGGAAAACCAGGTGCTTTTCCTGCATTATCATTGAGAACCTACAGTTCTCTCAGTCAACTAGTTCTTGTAGCTCTCGGTGGCCCTGAAACTTTAAAAGGGGGAAGCAAGCGCCACCTGCTGGTGAAAATGCGCGTAAGCCTGGTGCGCTCAGGAGCTACTGCAGTGAAGCTTTGGCGGGAGGAAATACTAAGTAGAGCATTTTCTCCCCAGTTTTGTTCCAGTTAACTCGGGTGCAGCTGTATTGCTGGGGGGGGGATAGTCCAACCAAGCATGAAGGTAGTGAAAATGATTTTTAAGGTTCTTTATTCCTCTTTAAAATGATGGCCGAAGGGCTGGAGAGATAGCACAGCGGGTAGGGCGTTTGCCTTGCACGCGGCCGACCCGGGTTCGATTCCCAGCATCCCATATGGTCCCCTGAGCACCGCCAGGAGTAACTCTTGAGTGCAGAGCCAGGAGTAACCCCTGTGTGTTGCCGGGTGTGACCCAAAAAAGAAAGAAAAAAAAACCAACCTATTGCCACTGGAGTGGACAGCAATGAAAAAGTTGGTGCATTGTATGCCTTGAAACTCAATCATGAATAGCTTCATAACTTGGTAATTCATGGTAATTCAGTTAAACATTTAAAATAAATAAAATGTTGGCCTAATACTAGGTATTAAAAGTTGAAACACTGCCTCACCTCTAAGACACTAAGTTCCTCCCACAAGGTCATTTGCCCTGGGGAGAGACTGACTGATCTCTGAGGTGAAGGCCTGACAGACAGAGAGGTCTCTCCACCACATTGCTCAAGTTCCCAGTTCCCCAGCCTTGAAACCTCCTGCTGGGTAATGCATGAGTAACGCGGCATCTTCCGTTTGATGATTGTCATTAGCTGGCTCCAGATTTCCCAGGCTTATGTGGGGTGTCAGGCTTACACAAGAGGGAAAATTGATAAGCGCCTCGGCACTGACAATTACAGGCGGTATCAGAGAGATCATGGGAATCCTGGAGGAGGTAGAGGAAGTCATTAGCCCCGCGCCTGGGGTCTGCGAGGACCCACTAGCTTCCTTTGAGGGGGAATCAGTTTGGTTTGCCTCCCCTGGACTAGGGTCTCATCATTCTTTAGTTGTTGAATTGGGGGTCGGGGAGAGTGTGTATTGGGGGGGTGTTGAGTTTTGGGCCACACTCAGCGGTACTGGGGTTTACTTCTGGTTCTGTGCTCAGGGAAGGGCTGGATGTGGTGCCGGGGATTGAAGCCCCCCCCCCATCCCGCACTATTGCTCCAACCCCACCATGTCCTTCTTCTGGTTCCCGGAGGTTCGGTACCTTGCCCAGAGCCATTGTCCTGTCGCAGCTCACCCCTGAGATTGCTTCCATGTTTTTTTTAAATATTTATTTACTTTTGCTTTTGGGGTCAAACCCGGCAATGCACAGGGGTCACTCCTGACTCTGAACTCAATAATTAAACCTGGCAGTGCTCAGGGGACCATATGAGATGCTGGGAATCGAACCCAGGTCAGCCGCATACAAGGCAGACGCCCTACGCGCTGTGCTATTGCTCCAGCCCCTGCTTTGGTGTTTTTCACAGCATTTTGCCTGACTTCCAGAGCAATCAGTGCTCAGCCTTCTGAAAGGACTTCGGATCGATTTTTTTCTCACCCAGTGGACAGACATGGGTGGAGTGGCGCCTCTGGGCTGTGCTGTGCGTGACTCTGTTTCCCGTTCTCTTTCTTGGTTTTGCTTTTTAGGCCACCCTGGCCATGCTCAGGGCTCACTCGTGGCTCTCCATTCGGGGATCCCTCCTGGCAGTGCTCAGGGGACCCCAGGCGTGGGGCCGGGGGGTGGATCCAGGGTGTCGCCTTATCTGCTCTTAACTCTCTGGGAGTCCTGTCGCGGCTGGCCGTGTGCAGGGCCAGCGTCTCAGCCCTGTCCCTCCCTCTCTCCGCGCCCCAGGAGCGAAGATAAGGAAGCAGGGGGCGTGCGGCTGGACTGCCCCACGTACTACAGCGTGTCGGCGCAGAAGGCCGAGCTGCTCAGCATGATCAGAGACATGCCCGAGGAGGCGGACGACGATGAGGATGAGCAGGCCGATGTCAACGAGAAGAAGGTAACGGGAGAGCTGGCGTCCGGGCATGGCCCCCTGGACCGTCACGGTCCTGGCAGGTCTGATGGGCCCCGCATGGCCGGAGGGCAGGGACCAATTGTTCACTAGTGGACTCAGTCCAGTGGCAGAACATGTGTTGGGTGGAAACTCAGCGCTGCCGCAACACCAGGGGAACCGTCAGTGCGCGCCAGACTTGCTTGGCGCTGGGAACAGTTTCCTCACAGCCCTCTCTCTGCCTCTCTCTTTCTGTCTCTCTCTGTCTCTGTCTCTCTGTCTCTCTGTCTCTCTGTCTCTCTCTCTCTCTCTCTCTCTCCCCTCTCTCTCAGTGTGGTTTGTATACAGATACTGAAAGCTTATCATGTATGTCCCTTTATCTCCTTTCAATATTCAGTTCTTATCCACTGTGCTCGGGCTGGAGCGATGATAGCACAGCGGTAGGGCATTTGCCGTGTGCACGGCCGGCCTGGCCAAGCCACACTCAGCGGTGCTGGGGTTTACTTCTGGTTCTGTGCTCAAGGAAGGGCTGGATGTGGTGCCGGGGATCGAAGCCCCCCACCCCCCTCACCCCGCACTATTGCTCCAGCCCCACCATGTCCTTCTTCTGGTCCTCGGGGGTTCAGTACCTTGCCCAGAGCCATTGTCCTGTCCTCCGCCCCTCTCGGAGAGCCCGGCAAGCTACCGAGAGTATCTCGCCCGCACGGCAGAGCCTGGCAAGCTCCCCGTGACGTATTCGATATGCCAAAAAACACAGTGACAAGAAGTCTCATGATGGAGACGTTACTGGGCCCACTCGAGCAAATTGATGAATAACGGGAGGACCATGACTGTGACCGTGACCGTGATCCACTGTGCTCATTCAGTTTAGCACAGCGGGTAGGGCGTTTGCCTTGCACGCAGCCAACATGGCCGACCCGAGTTCGATTCCTCCGCCCCTCTCGGAGAGCCCGGCAAGCTACCAAGAGTATTCGATATGCCAGACACAGTAACAACAAAGTCTCCAATGGAGACGTTACTGTGCCCGCTCGAGCAAATCGATGATCAACGGGAGGGCCTCATTTTCAACAAGTCTCACAACAGAGACCCTTACTGGGCCTGCTTGAGCAAAATTGATGAACAACAGGAGGACAGTGCTACAGTGCTACCCTAAAGTGGAAAATCTTTCCAAACATTAAGAAGAGTCGTTGTCAAGGCTTTCCGGGGGGAGGGAAAGCTGCTGACCCTTACCTTCCCTGGCTCCCTTGGTGGGATTGGAATTCTCCCAGGGAATAGTGTGGAAGTGCAGTATCAGAATCTAGTCTTTCGTGTTTGATATGCCTACAGATTTTTTTTTCTGAATATTTAAAAAATGGTCGCAAAAAAAAAAAAATTAAAAAAAAATTAAAAAAAATGGTCGCAGGGTTGCTGCTGTCTTTCTACACGTCTTCGAGGTCTAAGTTCTGCTCTACTGCAGAAAAAGACCTCTCCCACCTCACTTTCTCTGCTACCCCAGAGACTGTGCGCCTCGCACAGATGAGGCCTGCATGCTGCACCTCCCCTCCCCCCCCCAAAGAGGCTCTGTTAAAGTTTGCCGGGAAGATAAACGGTTCATGTGCCAATTCCAGAGAACCTTTCTTTTTCGTGCATTTGAGGCCGTGCCTGGAGGTGCTCTATGCTTATTCCTTCTCCATGCCCAGAGATCACTCCTGGTGGGCTCAAAGAAGCATATGGGTCAGCTCTGTGCCATACGAGCTCTCTACCTGCTGTGCTCTCTCTCTCTCTTTCTCTCTCTCTCTCTCTCTCTCTCTCTCTCTCTCTCTCTCTCTCCCCCCTATTATTTCCTTCCCCACTTTTCTTGTGGGGCCCCGTGATTTACAGTCCTGCCCAGCATCCTTGCATGCGGGCATTGTTCCAACCTCACACCCTCCACCAGAGTGCCTTCTTCCTTCTGCCGATGACTCAAGGACTCCACCCCTCCCCGCCAGGAGGAACTTCCTTACTCCATTCTGTTTAGTTTATTCTCAGTGTGCAAGCTAAGCCGTCTTGCTTATGTGCGAGAAGGAGACTGCCCTGGGAAAAGGAAGTCATGGGCCAGGGAGGGTTAAGGGTTTCTAGAGCACCACCTTTAGTGGACTCCTTTCCCTCCACCCTGCAGCTTGTATGAGCGAGGTGCCACACACGCAGCCAGCCCCAGGTTTCCTCATTGAAACACCCACTTCAGAGAATCCATGCTAATAACACCTTCCTGCCTCTCACTGCAGTGCCCCGTTCACTGCGCCCTCTGATGGGAGTCAAACCACTTCGCTTCCCCCAGCTCCATTTACGCCAGAGAGGGACTTCGACAGACACAGTTACAAGTACGAGAGGCCAGAGCGCAAGTACAGCAGGAAGGGCGCTTGCCTTGTGAGCAGCTGTGCAGGTTCAGTCTCTGGCACCCCATACGGTCCCCCGAGCCTCGCAGGAATGATTTCTGAGTGCAGAGCCAGGAGTAAGCCCTGAGCACTGCCAAGTATGTCCAAAAACCAAAACAACCGAGCATGCAGTTGCCAGGAAATCTTTAATTGAACGTTTCGAAGGCTGCTTTTTCTTTTTTTTCTTTTTGGGTCACACCCGGCAATGCTCAGGGGTTACTCCTGGCTACCGCACTTGGGAATTACTCCTGGCAGTGCTCGGGGGACCATATGGGATGCTGGGAATCGAATCTGGGTTGGCCGCGTGCAAGGCAGATGCCCTACCCACTGTGCTATTGCTCCAACCCCAGCTTTTTTTTGTTTGTTTGTTTTTCGCATCTAAGGAATAACGCCTTGCTTTACAGTGGGGGTGGGGGGTGTTGGCAAATGAGTCATTATCCTCCCCACACCCCACACCCCGGCTTCTTTATTTTTTAACTGCTTATCTCATCACTTTGTTACTTTGTTTTCACCCTCACATTCTGAGGCTTATGTGGCAAAAGTATTATTAGAACGAGAAGAAGAGGCTTAATCCTCCACAGGAAATAACATGAAGTCACTTGTATTGAGTCCTTCAGTCCTGGGTGCGGGCTGCCGTGTTCCGAGGTGTGTTTGTCTTGTTTTGACGTCATGCGGTATCACCTTGATTTCCACAAACCTGCTCTGGCACTTGCATTGCGACATGGGCCAGGAAGTAACCGTGTGTCGGGAGAAGTCGGATGGGAGGAGAGAAGACTACTTAGGACTAGCGGGGAGAGCACACAACACAGCAAGTGTGTGGAGGAAAGTTCTTCAAGTAGTTGGTTATGTTGGAATGGAGAACAACAAGGTCTCCTGATGAAATCAGACTTTTCCAAATTTAGAAGAGAACAAAGGGAGGCCAGGAATGCTGGGAGACGTGGCTGAAAGGACTCGCAGGGAACAGAAGGTCATGAGGTCCCAGGAGGCTTTGTGTGAAATGCTGAGGCATTGAGGTTTTCCTGTGTGGCCGGCAAGAATCCTTGGACGCCTTTGTTTGATATTAATGAGCCTCAAGTTTATTAATGTGTAATGACATTTTCATTGCTGCCACTTGCATTTGATTTGGAAGAAACACAAAACAGCTGAGCCTGAAATGACATCCTGTAAATATGCAGAAAGTTGAAAATGCAGATTTCACTTTTCTGATACACTACAAGTTGGCTTTGGTTTTTGTGGGGTGGGTCAAACCCAGGATCTCACATATGGGAGACGTGCTCTGTCACTGAACCACCTCCCCGGTGTCACTGCAGGTTTTTAAAATTTTAACTAATTTCTTCTTTTGGTTTTGGGATCCCACGTGGCAGTGCTCAGGGCTTTACTCCTGGCTCTGCCTTCAGGGATTGGGGAACATATCGGGTGCGGTGGGGATTGAACCTAGGTTGGCCAGGTTCGGGGCAAGCACCCTGTCTACTGTACTGTATCTCCAGCCCTTCTAATGATAAACTGTTTTTAATTTTAATTTTTTGGATCACACCTGACAGTGCTCAGGGGTTACTCCTGGTGGCACTGCGCTCAAGGATCGCTCCTGTCAGGTTCAGGGACCATATGGGATATTGGGGATTGAACCAGGGTTGGGGGACCAAATGGGATGCCGGGGATTGAGTCTGGAGTAGCCGCGTGCAAAGCAAGCACCCTACTAGCTGTACTATCACTCTGGTCCCCTCTAAGAATACGCTTTCTAAAGGATATCTTGGTCAATATTTATTTCCCCAATATTGTCCCTAGGCATAGTGTGACCGCCTACCAGTTTCAGCAAAGTAATAACTTCTTACCGAATATTTAAAATTACCAACGAAATTACTAGTGAGGAGACAAGAAAGTTAGTGTAACAGACAGAGTGATTGGTAGTACAAACAGGTAGGGTGCTTGACAGTACAAGGACCTGAGCATAGTTGGGTGTGGTCCACAAATAAGTAAAATAAAGTTACTAATAACCTAACTGTATTACTATATATATTTGGACATCCTAGTACATACTATTCGAAGCATCTGTGAGGTATAACTGAAAATATGAAACATTTTTAAATCTTTGAATTTCTGACACAAAGTAGTTCTAATTTGGGGGCCAGAGTACAGTATAGCGGATCCGGGCATTTGCCTGGCGCGTGACTGACCCCGCTTTGATCCCAGCATCCCACATGGTTTCCTGAGCACTGACTGGAGTGATTCCTGAGTGTGGAGCCTGGAGTAACCCCTGAGCACCACCAGGATGTGCCTCCCCCAAAAAGCAATTCTTAATTTTCATTCCTGACATAACTATTCGGCAAAATCTGATTAAGCAGCTCTCCTGATTCTCTCTTGTAGAGACCAAAGGTTTTGGCTTGGAATATTTCACAAGAATCTGTTGTTCCTCAGAACTGCCTTTCCCCTGGGGCTTTGCTGGCCGCCTGCTTGCTCGAGGCCGCTGGTCTTCCCGCATTCCTGAAGTTCCAGGCTTCCCTCTGATCTTTCTTTTCTTTAACTTCTCTGCATCCGAGTACGAGGACGAGGACGACTTTATTCTGCCTTCATCCCTGCAGGATATTTTCAGTGGATCTGGAATTCCGGGCTGACTGTTCTTTCCCTTTCGGAACGCAGTGTTCCGTTCCGCTCGCTTGCTTCTGCGGCTTCTGATGAGTAATGTATACCCTTTAAATACATCTTCCTCCTGCTTCCAGTGGGCTGCTCTTCTCGGGCTGCCTTCACATCGTTTCATCTTGGATTTCCAGCAGTTTGAGTGTACAAGCAGTGGGCCTGATCTTCTCTGGTTTTCCTGTTTGGGATTTGACACGCTTTTCGATTCCATAAATTTGTGCTTTTATTTTTTACTTTTTATTTATTTATTTATTTTTGCTTTTTGGGTCACACCTGGCAGTGCACAGGGGTTACTCCTGGCTCTGCACTCAGGAGTTACTCCTGGCGGTGCTCAGGGGACCATATGGGACGCTGGGAACCGAACCCGGGTCGGCCGCGTCCAAGGCAAACGCCCTACCCACTGTGCTATCTCTCCAGCTCCCCAAATTTGTGCTTTTAACCAAATTCAGTAAGTCTTCAGCTGTCATGTCTTCAAAGAAATGTTGATGCTGTCATTCCTTTCTCATCTTTGTGACACAAATGCCCTGTTTGCTTGCTTGGGGCGGGCTGTTTGCTGGGAGTCATGGGGTGTCCTATTCCTGTGATGTGGTCCATGCCAGCGCACGTTGGCTACCAGGCTGCACAGGGTGGACTGCGTGCCGGAGGAGGGCACGCTCTGTTGGGGTGGCAGGGCTCCCCGGAGGCAAAGCTGCTGGGACTGTGCTGGGCGCCAGTGGGCAGCCCTGGGTTCCCTCAAACATGCAGCCTCAACATTTGCAAGATGGAGCGGCCAAGCCATGCCGGGACCGATGTTGCGGGCATTCATGCTGCGCACAGGAGAGCAGCCACTCACGTCGGGCTGAGCTGCGGTCAGGCAGCCCCCACCAAGCGAGGTGTGAATCTCAGACTCCCCCCAGGCCCGAGTCTTAGTTTTCCTGCCTGCTCTACACGGAGGAAATGATACCTGTCACTGGGCTGTGGGGAGCACGAAGGGATCATGCAGGTGGAGTTTCTGGCAGCGTCTGGTGGGTCCCTGCCTTCCTCTGACTCGTGGCTTCTCTGTTCCAGAACAAGAAACATTTACCAGGGCCCGAGCGATAGGAGTGTGGGGAGGGCATTGGCCTTACAAGCGGCTGACCCGGGTTTGATCTCCAGCATCTCGTATGGTCTCCCGAGCACCACCAGAAGTAATTCCTGAGTGCAGAGCCAGGAGTGACCCCTGAGCGTCACGGGCTGTGACCCAAAAAGCAAAATAAATAAATCATGGAAGGAAGGAAGGAAGGCAGGCAGGCAGGAAGGAAGGAAGGAAGGAAGGAAGGAATTACCCTGTTGAGCTAGCGTGTTGTTCCCCTTTGTGTGAGGATCAAATGAGAGCATGTCTCTTTTTTTTTTTTGGCTTTTTGGGGCACACCTGGTGATACTCAGGGCTTCCTCCTGGCTCTGCACTCAGGAATTACTCCTGGCGGTGCTCCGGGGACCATATAAGATGCCCAGGATTGAACCCGGGTCAGCCACGTGCAAGGCAGACGCCCTCCCCGCTATACTATCACTCGGACCCTTATGTACGTTTCAGTGTGCGTAGTTAGCAGACCGTTTGGGAAGTCAGAGCTTTACCCAGCGTGACACCAGTGGGAACCATCCTGAGTGAGGGGTGCAGGGTTGGCCTGTGAGGACGGGCGGCCCCGCACGCACACAAGGAGCGCTACCGTCCGGCCCGTACAGCTGGGAGGGCCCGTGCCCAGTTGTCCGTCCCTGAAGCCGGCTCATCCTGGCTGTGTCCTCGCTGTCCCGCAGGCGGAGCTCATTGGAAGCCTCACCCACAAGCTGGAGTCCCTGCAGGAGGCCAAGCGCAGCCTGTTGACGGACATCCAGCTCAACAACGCCCTGGGGGAGGAGGTGGAGGCGCTCATCAGCCAACGCTGCAAGCCCAACGAGTTCGACAAGTACAAGATGTTCATCGGGGACTTGGACAAGGTGGTCAACCTGCTGCTGTCCCTCTCGGGCCGCCTGGCCCGCGTCGAGAACGTCCTCAGCAGCCTCGGGGATGATGCCAGTAACGAGGAAAGGGTAAGTGGCCGGCGTAGCTCCCCTTCGGCCCACGGACACGGAGCACCGCCGGCAGGTCTGCTCTTCCTCTCGAGAAAACTCTCCTGTGGACAGGGGACCGGGGAAGATGACACGCCATGTCCCAGGCAGAGGGGTTACTTAGGAAAGTGGAGGCACGGGTGCTGGCCTTGCGTGATGCCCTAGGTTTGACCCCCAGCATCCCGTAAGGTTCCGCCAGGAGTAATTCCCGAGTGCACATCCAGGAGGGAGCCCCGAGCATGGCTGAGTGTGGCCCAACACCCCATCCTTCCCCCCACATAAAAAACAAAGGGGGGAAAAAGGGCCAGAGAGGTAGTATAGCAGGTAGGGGGCTTGTCTTGCATGGGACCAACCCGGGTTCAGTTCCCAGCATCCCATATGGCCCCCTGAGCCCACCAGGAGTGATCCCTAAGCTCAGAGCCAAGAATAACCCCTGAGCATCACTGGTTGTTGTCCAAAAAGAAGAGAGGGAGGGAGATTCCTGAGCACAGAGCCAGGGGTGTGCCATGAGCACTACCAGGTGAGGCCCCAGAAATCTAAAACTGTACAGATTGAGGGATGCATGCAGGGTTGACCCTCAAGCACTGGGCTTTGAGCTGCCGCAGTTCTTTCATACGCATTTTTTTTTTTCTGCCCACTGATCCTCGTGCCAGAATTAACCAGCCATGATGTCGGCCGCCTGTGCAAATGCAGAGTGTGACGGCAGGGCCTAACAGAGACCGCACATCTGGGGTTCATGAGACGCCCTGCGCGGCCAGGGATCAGGGCAGGGCGTGAGGGTCTTTACACTGATGTTTTGCTCGCCGTCCGCGTCCCTGCCTGGCATGTGTCCGCGGCTTGGACGTGCACGCATACGTGAGGGCAAGGAGTCGGCTCCCCTCTCTAACTGGTGTCTCCCCCGTTTTCCCGGCAGAACTCTCTCCGCGAGAAGAGGAGGGTGCTGGCGGGGCAGCACGAGGACGCGCGGGAGCTCAAGGAGAATCTGGACCGCAGGGAGCGGCTGGTGTGGGCCATCCTGGCCGGCTACCTGTCGCAGGAGCAGCTCCGGGACTACCAGCACTTCGTGAAGATGAAGTCCACGCTCCTCATCGAGCAGCGGAAGCTGGACGACAAGATCAAACTGGGCCAGGAGCAGGTCAAGTGCCTGCTGGAGAGCCTGCCCTCGGACTTCACGCCCAGGGCGGGCGGCCCCGCGCCCTTAGAGGGGAGCGTTTCTGGCACCCCGCTTTAACCTCTGTGCAGGTCCCGGCCCAAGCACCCCTCAACACTGAGCGACAGAGGCCTCACTGCAGACCACTGCAGCTGCAACTCACGGGCTACTGCGGGGGGGTTCTGGATAAAAGGAAAAAAATATCCCGTGCAGGAGAAAGCCTGTTTTGTTTTCTGGTTTTGTTTTTTTTGGTTTTTTTTTACCTTCTCTTCCCTCACAGTTGATCTTTCAAGAGCTTGAATTGCTGCTGGGAATTTACCCATTTCTCGCATTACTTGGTAGTAGGGAGAAAAATGGATGAAGCTGTGGGGAACGGGCTGGGGGGGTGTCTGAGCGGTGGAGGTCCCGGACTGGGTGCTTGAGTGCCGCGCCTCAGCCTCCCCAAGGGGCCCAGTGCTCCACCGTGAGGGGGGGCGGGCAGCGCCAAAGCCTGAAAGAAGCCCACGCCGACGAAGATTATGTAACCGTGGACATTGTTATTTATATTTTAAAAATGGAAAAAAAAGGCTCATTTCGTTTGTGTGCTAACCCACTTCCTTGATTCTGTTTTGTGGTGGACATCGATGGTTCCGTTTGAACTTCGTATTTTGTGCAAACCTAATGAATGAAGAATTCCAAAGACAGCCCCACCGAGTGTGGACACTCCTGTTTCCTTGTCCTCTTGGCTTTGCCTGTGTCGTCTTTCCCAATTCGAGGAGCCCCTCCGTGCGTGGGCGTACAAACACCGGGGATCCAGTTGGCCCTGCTGCCGGCCTGAGCCTGGTCCAGGCACCTGGCAGGTGCCGGCAGCTGTGTGCAGCCGGGTTCTCTCTCCTGGTACTTGGCGGCCTTGTCACCGTGGTGCTTTCACCCAAACAAGGATGTTGAGGCACTTGAGAACTAAATTCAGGAGCGGGCTAGGTACAGCCTGTCCCGTGAGATATGTCAGCAGGCTAGGAGTGGGCGACTTCCGGGCTGCGTTCAGGAGGCCCAGGGGCGCGCACTGCGAGGGGCTGAAGCTACAGGTCACCTTGGCGGTGTGAGGGGCTCCTGGGCTATACCCAGCGATGCCACAGGGGCTGAACCAGTATCAGCTTCATGCAGGGCTTGCACCCTCGCTGCGATTGCGTTTTTCCTGCCCACCTATTAGCAGACTATTTTAGTGATTTCTTTCAGGACTTCTACTTTGTTTTGTTTTGTTTTGTTTTGGGGGGGGGCACACCTGATGATGCTCAGGGGTTACTTCTTGCTCTGCACTCAGGAATCACTCCTGGTAGTGCTCAAGGGACCACAGCAGGTGCCGGAGATTGAACCTGGGTCAGCCACATGCAAAGCAAACACTCGCTGCTGTACTAGCTCTCCATCCCCAATTTCTAAACAGGCTTCTTCAAATGACAGTCTGTCAACCACACCTTTTTTCTGGGGGGGAAGTGAGCAGGGTGGGGGACCACACCCATCACTGCTCAGGGTTTACTCCAGGCAGGGCTCAGGGGATCAAACCTGGTTAGGCCACTTGTCAGGCAAGTGCACTGCCCACTGTACTCTCTCTCCGGCCTCCTGGCCTTTCTTGAAGGAGCAGGGGCCCCCAGACGTACCAGATTACAGTCTGATGTTAAGTCCCTTATCACCAGGCTGGACAATCCAAGGTAAGGCCCTAACAACATGACACCATTTAGGTCATGCAATGGCAGGAATTAAACTCATGTGCCCCAGCCCTGATCCCTGTACTATCTCCCAGGCTCTCAATTCTGATTTACTCAGAATTCTCTCAACAGGATGTAAGGGCGATCTGGCTGTGACATCTGTCACCCCATTGATGTCCAGCTGGCTAGGTGGGTGTCCCTTCCTCCCCCTTCCTCCCTCACTAATCTTTGTGCATCCCTCTCCAAGCTGTGCCCTCCAAGAGGACGGCCTTCCCTGAGTAGAGATAGACCATCTATTCTTCAGTCGAGGGGCTAGAGTAGGTGCACCCCCTGCTAGAACCTCCAGACGAGCTCTCTCCACTTCTCTCAACATCTGCAGATTGGTTTTTGCATTTCTGTGCTTAAGGAGGCTCATCTCAAGGCTCGGCACTCAAGAGCCCAGCTCAAAAGTCTGTAAAAAGAAAAGGAGGCTAGGGCTGAAGCAATAGCACAGCGGGTAGGGCGTTTGCCTTGCACACGGCCGACCCAGGTTCGATTCCCAGCATCCCATATGGTACCCTGAGCACTGCCAGGGGTAATTCCTGAGCGCAAAGCCAGGAGTAACCGCTGTGCATCGCCAGGTGTGATACACACACACACACACACACACACACACACACACACACACAAAAGGAGGCTGAGGGCCAATGGCCAGGCCTAATTCTGGTTGTTAGCCGCGAGAGAAGCAACAGCTTAAACTGTCCAACTGGTACCCCACCCCCCAGCCCAGGTTGTGCTTCATTTTTGTTGTTGTTTATTTGTTTCACAGTCTGTGGTCCATGAGACCATGGACCATTTCTACTGGTTAGGGCCTAATGGTCCCGTAGCAGCCCATCCCAGAGAATGAGGAGAGTGATTTCAGAGGGGCCTGAGAGACAGTACCGACCGAGGTTTGATCCCTGACACCCTGTATGGTCCCTCAAGCACCGCTGGGACTAATTCCTGAATGCAGAGCCAGGAGTAAGCCTTGACCACTGCCAGGTGTGGCTCCCCCACTTCCAAGGGAAAAAAAATTATTATATATATATGTGTATATATTTATATATATTTCCAGAGTTGTTTGAGAGACCCTGGTGATAATAGAGGTGGAAGGGAAGGCTGGAGAGAGCCATCAGGGATGACTTCCTTAGTTTTTGGCTTATGCAGTTCCAGAAGGCAGAACCATGCGATTCAGAGCGGGGGAGTCTGCCAAGGAAAAGATTCGGGAATCTCTGTTGTTTGCCACCAGAATATTTTTCTTCCCCACTTGGGTAGGAGGGAGACATTATTGCCTTTGGAACCTGAAATGGTTTATGGGAAAGGAACAAATGCCCCTTTTCCCCCTTAGCACATTTTAGCTCATGAAATTTTTGCTCTCCAATTCATATAAGTTGCTTTTGTCTTGGGGCCACGCTGGGCAGTGCTCAGGGATCACTCTTGGTGTGGCTCGGAACACCATAGGTGTGCTGGGGATCAAACCCAGGTAGGCTGCATGCAAGACAAGTTCCCTGCATGCTCAACTGTCGCTCCAGTCCTCACAGATGGATTTAGATTGCTTAGAACCTATAGACCTACCCAGAAGCTTTTTGCCAGCAATCAGCCAAAAGCTTTGTTCTTGGAGGTTCGCACTGCCTGGTCCCGTTGATATGGTACAGGAAGACAGTCCCCAGGTGTTCCAGGAATGTTCTCTCAGGCTCCTCTCACATCCCACGGTCCCGTCTCCAAGAGAATCTGTCAAACCAGCAATCACATCCAACAGCCACATGGCCCAGTGGTCGGGAAGGAGAAGCTCAGGGCATCTGGGCCTCAGTCAGCCTTAGGTCCAGAGGAGCCTGAGACCAGGTGCAGCAGGGGTTAACCATTGTCTCACTGACTACGCAGGGGGACGCCAGCTTTTTTCCAGTGACTACTCAGCAGTGGGGATGTGGTTCCCAGCACCCCTTAACTAATCTTCCTAAGTATGTGATGAGGGAGCATTTTACATATTCATTTTTTCCCCAATGACCTCTAGTGTGTCCATGTGAAAGTAAGGGGCCCACCCCAATCCTGCACTAAGTAGCAAGTAGTCACAAGCACCCAAAAATCTAGGAGACTCCTAGGACCTCATCCTTGTTGCAGTGAACCGCTGTTACACTGTTCTGTAAAACAAAGGAGGTGGCAAGTGTGAGTTTGAAACCCAACGCTTAGGAGTAGGTGATATTGTATCAGCTTTGATACTAGAAAGAGAAGATACCAACCACGAATCTAATCGTTGTGGGGATTCGGTAGAGAAGTTTGTCCTCACCCAGGGTACCCAGGAAATTTGTGGTGTACCCAGGATCAAGCTGGGTGGACCACATGCAAGGCCTTAACCCCTGTACTAGCCTCCAGCTAATTTCCTTTCAGTGTTTCCTTGTCAGTGCCTTTAGAAAACAAATCTCTTTGTTCTCTTTTCCATTTTAGTGTGTAGTCTCTCACTATTACTAAAGAAAATCTGCAGTAAAATTCACTCTTTTTCCCTTCCCCAAATCGTCTCTGCCAACGTCCCGCCTGAACACAGGACACATTTGATAGCATCAGGGATATTTGTTCCTGGGGTCGTGTTGGAAATAACTAGGCCCCATGAGAACCCGGCCTTCCAATAACCCAAATACGGATATGCAAGAAAACCCTAAAGGAGAATGTCCTGCACCAGAGCTGAGACCCTCCAGTTCCCGGGCACGCTGCTACGTACCGCTTGACTCAGCCTTTTCTCCTGTTGTTTGGTTTCTTTTTTTTCTTTCTTTTTTTAAAATTTTTATTAGTGAAACTCTGCCTTTGGTTTCTTGTGGTGACTGCTTAGCCCCAAAGAATGCAGGAGGCCTCATGATGAAAGTGTCTGAGTTTCTCCAGGAGGCATTATCGAAACCAAACACTCCTTTCCCCAAACATTTTAGGTTTTGGTATGCATGGCTGGTTTCCAAAACTTGAAGGTTAACAAGTTTGGGTGAAACTTGGAAGGATCAGGGACTGTTGAGGCACAAGGGCTTAACAGAGTCCCTGGGGGGCACAGAATAGACCTGGGACAGCCCCACTTCCCTGTTCTCCAGGCTTTGTATTAGTTTAAAGTCACGTCACAATTTAATGATAGATCAAGTTGCTTCTGATAGAAACTCTGCCTTTAAGCTTATACCTACTCCAGCATCTTTTTCCAAACTATTGGGACTTTTTATCCCCTCAGTACCTAGGAAAACGTTGGCTTTTTAAAACCCATAGTCCAAATTTATGTCTCTTTAATTTTCCATGATTTTCTGGACCTTATTCTGTTGTTGTTGAAATGATTTTTTTCCCCTTTGAGAACAAAAAATTATATTCACTCATGGATTTTATTCACTTTGTTACTGGAAAGCAAAAGGAGAAACTTCATCCAGAAACAACCCACGCCTTCATCTCCAGCAAAGCTACGGTGCTCAGGACAATAGGAAGAAAGGGGCCTTTCCACATAGAAAGACCACTGGGGACAAGTATACATTACCACCTTTATTCTTTGGAAGAGAGCACAGGGTCAAATAATAAGGGCCCCTAGATTTAGGGGGCTACTTGGGAGCTGAAGCAGTAGTAGAAAAGGGTGGGCGCTTGCCTTGCACGTGGGCAACTGGGGTTTGATCCCCAGAATCCTATATCGAGTGATTCCTCAGTACAGAGCCAGGAGTAACCCCTGAACACTGCCAACTCCCCCACTAAAAATTTAGGGGACCACAGTTGCCAGGATTTGAATCTGATCAGGTGACCACAGTTGGCAGGATTTGAACCAAGGTCTCAACCACATCCACATTTAAGGCGAGTGCCTAAAGCTTCATACTTTGAAAGCCAGTCTTAAGATCAGAAAGAGACATGTGAATAGTTGCTTTAACTCTCACTTCTTTTTTAAATTTTATAAAGTTGATCATAATAATGTTTTACATTTAATATTCCAACACCAGTCCCACCACCCTTACACCTTCCCACCACCATATTTCAAATGTCTCCCCCACCCTGACACCCAAAGCA